CCCCCCGACTGCTACTGTTGCAAAACTACTATCATAGACCACCGTGGTTGTTCCGCTGACAAACTGGCAATCATAACGCTCGATGAACGGTCAAGCCGAGCACACATCCATTAGTTTTGGTCATGAGTCTACGTACACATTTCTTGACTTTCGTCCTCTCTCTATGCCTCTCCCACCCTCTCTTTCTCTCTCTCTCTCTAACTCTCTGACCCCGCCTCTCGTCTCTGTCTCTCATGATCGGTGCCGCTCGTGCATGTAGACCGTACGGTCGCGAGTTCTGCCCACTCTCCCTGTTCGCCAGAACAATCGCAAGGGCTCTGGGCCCCCACGAAACCTTAGAAGAAGCTTGCCGGGATCTCGATACGAGATACTAGTAGAGAGCTAGGCAAATGTGGTGGCAACAGATATAACGGCATTGTTTGATTTTTTTTTTTTTGTGCCCAACGTAGGGTATGGATGTTGGAGTTTAGGCGGTCCGACAACACGCACAGGAATGTAAGTTGACGAGATCGGCTGGTTTTCAGGCGTGTATAGGGTCTCAAGCCACCGTGTATCCCAGGCTCGGTAAGGGCCGACCTGTGTCGTTGCGCGACTGGGGTGCGCCTAGATGGAACGTATGTATTCATTCGATTTTTCGTGAAGCGTGCGGGTCGGCATGGGAACACCTGAGAAAAAAGGTTCTCCGAACACCACGTATTTAGTGAATGAACGACCCCCAAGCTGACCCCAGGAAACTTGTAAGAATTCAGGATACTTGAGGCTTCTGCTGCCTTAGGACGTTTCCCGGGCCTAGACGGAGACGTTTTTTATGGGTATTTAGTATCATCTGTCTTCTTGCGGCGAAATTTCTATTCGCCTCTTGTCCACCAGAATCGTGTGCTGTAGGGGGGGAAAGCCGTTTCATTTTGTACACCACCGGTGTGATTGAAATCGCGTTGATGAATGTTTTTTTGTCATGGGGAGGGGACTATTTTTTGTTGTTTCGAAGAAATGTAGCTGGCTTGGGTGCTCCTCTTGGCAACGTTTAGATTCGGCCGAAGTTGGTGTGACTCATCCATCATCCACGTCCTTGTCTTGTTTATGTGTCCTAATCTTGAGCATCGACCGCGAACTCCGGAGGTCTGCTAGTTTGTCGTGTTTGTGGAGTAGTAAGGTGTTGGCTGCGCAGAACGAAAATTGGGCAGTCTTGGCGATGGTGTACCATGTGTCTTTGTGTGTGTTATTTGTTGAGCTGAGTGATTTGGGTTGATCTTATAGTAAGCTAGGTTTGTCATAGAGTATGAGACGGCCTCTCTTGCTTGGGACAATAGTTTAACCCGCCGCAGCACCGACGTGGTATCTTTGTCTTTGTCGTCATTTCTTGCCCTTGGTTCCGTGTTGCTGTTGCAGCCAGTCACGTTAGCGTTTCGAGACATGCGCTCCGTGCCCGTTCGCTCTTTGTCCTTTGGCTCCCATTGCGAATGGTTGAGACTGCTGCCTTGCCTTCTTCTTGTTGTTGCCCGTGTGTGTGGAGACGTTTTTGCTGTAAGTGCTGTAGGTGGGAGTTCGGTGTGGAAACTAATACTACTCTTCGTTACCGTGGGTCTTACGCGCGCCAGCGCATTCGTTGTTCGCTTGGGGATCGTGCATGTATTCGGTTTGCGCTATCATTTGAGAACGAATGGTAAATTATGATGTGTCTGCTTTTCCTGCCCTCCGGTGTGGTCATCGGACGGACACAGAAGGAGTGGCATATTCTCAAACCCCGTCTTTTGGCGCAACGTAGATCGCATCCCGTCCTCCGCTCTAGAGTATGGCGTTCGATCCATTTTCACCCATGCGTGTCGTGCACAACAGGGACAGGAGGCGGACAGAGATTTGCATGAAACAATCTACCGTAGGTGACATTACACAAGATACCACACACCCTCGACCAATTTTCTCCCCTCTCGACTACTTTACATGGCGGTACCGAAAATGGCAGCGGCGGAAGCGTCTCGTCGAGAGCTTTCCGAAAGTACATCCATTGAGTTTTTATGCCCCAATGAAGTGGAATAAGATCGAGTTTTGAAAATCGCTCGGGGGTGTGTGTGATATCTTACGTCATCCGTGGTACTGCAAATGTACAAGTACGCGAGTGGTTGCGACGAATGTGAAGATTCCGCATTGAGTATTGGAGTATTGGCCAGGTTTGTGAACGGTATTGGACGAAAGGCAAGTAACACAATTGACATGCTCCGCCATTGGGTAGGCGGGAGAAACTACAATGAAATCAAAGGTAGAAGGGTGGTTTATTGTGGATTTCCGGACTACGTCGCAGCTTTTGCCTCAGAAACGCGTGAGGACACCACGGAGGTGTAAGAAGAGCACACGGAAAGTTATGTGTCGCCCCTTTTTTCTTTCTGGAGACCCGTCGTTACACCGTTCTGTGTGTTTTCTGGACGCACAGGAGGAAGGTCGCACATGAGTTAGAGACGAAGCGGTTCTACAGTAGACCTATGGAGCAGAGAATGACACCTCATCGACCTTTGCCCTCACGCCGGTCCATTTCACTCATGGCGTTGGCTGTCCGATCACTTTGTTTCATGCCAACAAATGCTGTGTACGACAAGGGTACATCCAGCGTGTGTCCGCAACGACTCGGCAGTGTCTGTACCGGTTGGCGTGTCCTATTTTTTGTTGCGGTCTTGAGATGCAAAACGAATGTCCAACGGCACCTCCCGACGAACGGGAACGAACTCAGAGGATGGTTTGCAGGCCGTATCGTTGGAGTTCGATTGCACCCGGCCGGGAAAAAAAAAGAAAAAGAACGGCGACCTGTTGAAGGTATTGTTAGTCCATCCGCATTATATTCTTCAGCATAACCCCGTCCAACACAGCCCATCAACGCGTCTGCAAAGTTCGAAGCTAGGTGCTTCGTGCACATCGAAGTGTTACCATGAAAGTCAACACCACCTGCGAAGTGTACCGCAACAGCCCGAAGCACCATGATCACTAGACCACTATAGTCAGCCTACCAGTCGGCGCTGACAAGTGGTCTATCTTGTGGTCGAGTGGTCATCGTGCTTCTGAATACGAGCCAGTAGGGCCCAAACACCAAACGATCCAGCCAACCAATACCTAGACTTAACCGACCTACGGGAAAAAACAAGTCCCAGGTCTATCGACACGCCCAGTCAAGAACAAGCCGGTCAAAGCTGCTGGCGAAACAAACGATTCGGATCCGACTAACTAAACAACCTTGCTCTAAACACATGACTACAAGCGGATGAAGCAGCGTCCTTCAACCGCTGCATCCATTCACGACGACAAACAGAAATATTATACAAGACTGCGAACATTGCCACGTACGTTCAGCGGAGTTCACCACTACCGCAAAGGGTACGGCAACAGCACAGCACACTACAGCACCGTACACCACATCAGGGGACGAGAGGAGCACCACAGGTTGAACAAGAAAGGATCAAATTTGATTTACTTATCCCCGTCTCGAAGAACATTATCAGCGTTCGTTATACAAAGGGTCTCTCCACTTTGAACAGAATACCCACGCTTTCAGCACGACAGAAGCCGAGCTACAATCAGAAGCTCTAACTCCACCACCACCGCTGCCACCACCAAAGGGTAGCAGCATAGCATGCATCACACAACGAACGGCTCAAGACACACACATTTACAACGGAAAAAAATCTCCAGTTGAGATTGGCCGTAGTCAACCACCCACGAGCAGCAGCTCCATCAGAGAAAGAAGGCAGTCATCGAAGCACCGACGGTGTAGTCGTGGATAGTAATATGACCTCGGACGCCACCACACGATCCAGGCTTCACCAACAACGCTACCCTGGCGGGCGCTCCCAGGTCCTGCTAAACGTTGATGATGTTGAGCAAGGCCAGATTGTTGGGGGGCGGTCGGTGTGGCGTGCACCCAAAAATTGACAAAATATTTTTTTCCCCGGCAAGCAGTCGTGCAATCTTGTGGGAGGATACAGCAGTGGTCATGGAAGGTTCCACGTGTTTCATGCGACAGGTCAGACACGCTGTAGAATGCTCCAAAGTGTGCATCCCTCGACGAAGATAAGAAGATACAGCAGTAGACAAATATATCAACGGTTAGATCCGGCCACCGCGGGCAACCCTGCACAACAGCCCAACCAGTTGTAGCACACATTAATTCAGCAGCCTTTTATCGGGACTCATTCAGCTACGCCAGGACTGCCTGCTTAGGCCAGGTACCACAGGGCGTCCTTGTGGCTCACCTCAAGAGTATGGACGGCGTAGGCCCGATGGTGGGGGAACCTCCGCCTTCCACTCGATACGGCAGCCTCCTTCAACATGCGAGAAGGTGTCGGCGTCGAAGCAGCTCGGCACGTCGCCTGTCACGTGCCGTCTTTGTCAAGGTTGACCAGGGACCACGGGGAGACCCCCCTCGAAGAACTGATGAAGGTCGTGGCGGGGCCCACCCAAAGGGCCAGCTCCGTCTGCTCGTCTTCGTTGTGGTGATCGGGAGCGACACCGTCGGGTAGTCGTTCGGTCTCATGCTGATCTGATGTTGCTGTGGACGCCGGACTCTTCTTGTTCGACTGGCGGATAGTAGTGTAGACAGGGAGGGGGTGTCTTGAGAGATATGGTTGTGTGGTATGCGGGCCGAAGATTGTGTGTGTGCCTAGGTGCCTGTGTGGCTGACAACCCTGGCGCGGATGACGCGTTTCCTGAGCAGGCGGGGTTCTGACGCGGGACTGTCAATTGTGACGCGTGGTGACGCAGAGTGGATGGGTTGATTTCGCCGCATTTCGTTTGATTCTGACGGATTCGTACATGCAGAACATTCTTCTTCGAGTACTATAGGTTGCGTTGTGGAAGCAGTCTTGTGCTTGAACACCTCGACAGCGTCAGTCAGGCGAATGCCAAGACAATGAAACACCCTTTGGTGTTTTTGCGCTCGTAAAATAATATGTTGTCGAACGAGGACTTTCCACTCGGACAACCAGTTACCGTGTGCCATAGAGGTGACATGACATATGTACTTGTAAGATATTCGCCCTCCTCGCCCGACTGTCAAAGCTTGATATTCCACAGCGGAAACAATGTTGGTGCCGAAAGGGCGGCGTTGGAACCGTCTGGCTGAGAGATTTCCGCTAAAGAACCGTTGATTTATACCATCTTCGTCGTGGGGTAATTGGCTTGATTGAACCTCGACTTAGAGGCGGTGTGATATCTTGTGTCACCCACGTACGTACAAGGTACGTACTTGATTGTACTGGACAGCAGGTAGGATAGGTGCTTACAAATAGTGTTTCCCTGCTTAATCTCCAGCTGGTTTGTCCTGTTGTTGGCTTATTTATATTATGACATTCGGAGATTCGAACACTTCAAACGACCTCAATTCATGTATATTATATGGGGTGTGTATGAGGACACTGGTCCCTCTGTCAGAGACAGAGGCCGGTGCTCTTGCAGTATTCTCCCACTGCCAAGGGTGGCTATTTCCTTTCGTGAGATGTAACGAGGAGAGAGGTAGAGAAAAAATTACCAGAGGGTCGAAGAGGAGAGCCGGAGGCTCTCCGTCTCTTCCCTCAGCAATCGGCCATGGACTCCGGAAGAGACGAATCTCCTCGATGTTTACTTGCCACTTCTCAGGATGGCAAGTTACCCCCGAGGGATCATACCTTCCTTATGGCTGGTTATATTTTCCGACAGGTGCCCTCAACATGTATATTTAATTAATTAACTGTTTTTGGTTTGGGGGGTGTTTTTGGTTTTGGGGAGACGATATCAAAAGAGCATGCAGTGAGTACACCAGCCCGTCTCAGATCCCACGGGTCACGAGTCATTCGGACCCCGGACCTCACGACAAACAACTTACATTGAACCAAACTCAAACCGTAGTGAAACGGTGTGATTTCGGCTTCTATAACCTCTGCGTACAAAAAAAAACATTTGCAACATACATGGCCCGATATTTTGCTGTTTTGAGGCTGGCGACCCGTGGCTGTGTGGGGAGCGTCCATTGCTCTAAAACCCCAAAATACGGGAGGGGGGCGTACTCTTCTGTTTTGCATGCCTTAGCGGTTAGACCATTGACCACGCGTCCTCGAGAGGACGGAGCATTGTTCCCACAGGACCGATCACCAATGGCCAATCGTTCCTTCTTCCTTCGCCAAAGGTGGCTCAAAAAGATCTTCCGTTGTCTATACAAGTATATCCTATCGATATCACTCCCCGCCTTTTCAACCCCTTGCCATGCCCCAGTACAGCTAACGTCTTATCCTGGCTATTCCATGCCTCAAACATCTCCCTGTACTTTCCTTCTTCATTTCCCTGCTCAGTCATGTACATTTCCCTCTCCTTCTTGTACAGCCGATATTCCGCGATTACATGAACACGGTCTTCGCACTCGGAGACACAGTCACACTCAAAATACGGGAGGGGGGGGGGGGGCATTTTCCAAATACTCTCGCATTCAGCAAAATAAAGAAAGCACGGAAATGCGGCCTAACTACGGTAAAAAATGTGGGGTCAAAATCGAAAATAGATTTTGAGAATTGCGCTACCGAGACTACATCCTCTTATGGAGAACAAGCCCATCGTATCCCTGTCCACTGGGTCATGCCGACGAAATATGACACTCTGGGCACAACCCGGTCCATGCGAATCACTCAATTCTTCAACTCTCGTCTGTTTACAAAATTCAACACCAGAGTGCCTCGAAAACACAACCCTGCCGTCTTGCGGACCACCGCCAAATTTGAGTAGCTGAAACCAAATATCGACAGAAAAGCTATTCTACATCAGCATCCATCCGCATTCCGTCGGGTCATGTTTTTTTCTTAAGCTTGATGACGATTTTCTTCTTCGTTCCTGCCGCCGCTCCGGCAGTCGGGCCGCCCGCCACTCCCTGTTTCGTGAAGGCTTTGCTCGCGGTTCCAGCCCCCTGCTGCTGTTGTTGCTTTGTCGGCCAGCCCGCTGTTTGTCCTATTGGCCCTGCAGCTGTAGTTGTCGCCGTTGACGACGTGTTGCTGGAGGCTTCTGGTGCACTTTTTCGTTCTGCCTCAGCAGCCTGGAAAAAAATTGTTATGTTCCACATTACGTTAGAAGGTTGGATGGAAATCTCTAGGGACACACTACATGACGTGGAATACAACCAACGCTAGAGTAAAGGTAGTGTTACTGAAAGAATGCCGGAGAATGGCAGGTTTTACGCTCCGCTTAAACGTCATTTCTTGTCCACGGCGGCAATTTTTTTTCTCGCAGTAAAACAAAGCTGATAGCGGCACCAAACTAAACCCTGGAGTTCGCCAGACAAACGCATACCAATCATCGAAATTAAAGAAAGCGGCCGAGTAGCGGCAAGTGTGAATCGGTCGCAGGACACAGTACAGGCAAGACACCCCGGTGAGAAGGTCAGGAACAGCGACACAAAAATGTTGTACCAGTGGCATCTGCTAGACGTAGAGATCGACCAGCGCCTCACTTCTTCCTCTTCCCGCTTGTCGAGCTCTTGTGCCGCGCTAACGAGGAGCGCCAGGACCGACTCGTTTGTCACGAGGTCCACCGGCTTTTCGCCTCTGTCGTTCTTAGCCCCCACGTCGGCCCCTGCCCCGATCAAAAGCTCGACAACCTGGCATCAAGAGAAGTCATTCATTCCCAGGGTTATCGTAACCTTTGGAGTGGATCTTGTCACTACAGTAGTTTGGGGGCAAGGCGCACTTGGAAGCGCGGTTGTGAGGAAGTCCGCCTACTTGGCGCCTACAAAATCCTTGTCGGAAACTACTTTAAGTGTGTTCGAAAGCGTCCGAGATGTGGGCATCAGTGTACAGGGGCATCAAAAAGGTTGAAGCCCACTTGACATTGGTTTTGGCGTGACTTGGAGGTGCAATAAGGTGCATCCCACGTGGCAGGGAATTAACACACTTTGTCTGCGGTAAGCCAAGTACAGCTGACGATGGGATTGCTAGCTAAACCCATGGGTGGCGCGGCAGGTAATTACCGTATATGACACAAGATAACACACCCCCTGGACCGATTTTCAAAGCTCGATTACTCCACGACGAAGAGGATGCATAAATGAAACAATACGTTTTCGAACAGCTCTCGACGAGACGGTTCCAACGCCGCCGTTTTCGGCGCTGTGACTCTTCCTGCTGTTGAGAAATCGAGCTTTGAAAATCGGCCAAGGGGGTGTGTTATCTTGTGTCATATACGGTAGTAGCTCCATCCACACGCTCTGGTAGCGTAACCCAGAACCTTTCGTGATAACCCAAGGGCCTCCTGCCTGTGAATCGGGGAACTCAGGAATGGAAATGTCCCATTCGCGAAGCACACAGCGTGGAACTATCGGTGAATTAAACGAACGATAACGTGAGATACCCCGCCACATTTGCATATACAACAGCCATTTACGCGAAAGGCAGACACTTGTACCGGTTCAGCGCCACTTTCGTGAACTCGACTCGACGTACTTGACAAGATGACTCTTCCAAGTCTCTTGTGTCCGAAGTATCGCTGACTCCCGCAACAGAACAGGCCCAGTGCAACACGGTATCTCCTCCCGTGGTTCTGACGTTGACGTTAGCCTAAAACACACGGGCAAATCACGACCGGGACAAACATAAAGCTTGTGTGTGTCTTGAATTCTAGCACCAACCGCGCTAGCCGGCTGACCAATGCAGAGACGTCAGTCTCAAGTGCGGCTGAAAACATACAGCGCTTCTAAAGGCGATGATCTGGGACCCCGTGACGGGGCGCCATCGGGGGGGCGAGGCTATTCTCCGAATTAAAGAGAGAAACGGTGGCACATGGAGGAGAACTGCACGTGTCACCAGGGCCTACTCGTGTTCATTTAGGATCTCTCCGCATGCTGGTTCTACAGTGTCATCTCGTGTGCAATGCCCTCATCATTTTGGGCGCGTGTTGTGTAGAAGATCAGCTGGGTCGAAACTTTTACTATCTTCCGTACTATCGTACATCTCTCCGTTCTTCCTTCTTTTTTCCATCCCTCTCCCCCCTTCAACTTCCTCCTGTTTCGATACCACTAGCCGTGTGTGTTTGTGTGTTTGTCAGAGTCTTGACAGTGCGAGGCTGAAAATGGACGGTGGGTGTGAGACAACGAATTTACCTAAGAAGAAAGTCAAGAGCAAAACGAACCCGTGATACCTCGGTCCCACACAAACTATTTGTAGCGCACCTTTCCTGTTCCCAGCAGAACTTTGGCTACTTTCACGTCGCATCTTTTTGCACACCTGCGAAGAGAGATTAGGCAGAAGGAGTATATAGCATGGAAACAAGCAACACTTAAAATAACCTGCCGGATTCAGCGTAGGATTACAGCTTGTCCGCTAGGAAAGGTTCTCCATCACTAAAGCGCCAGGTTTCGAACACAATGGGCTTGCAAGCCAAACTATGAACACCTTATCGCCAGCAACAACACCGAACTGAGAGGTGCCTGTCCACAGCTCACAGGAGGAGCTGCACCTACACCGGCAACGGAGGCAGACGAACGTGATTGACGGAGGAAGGGTCTTCGACAGTGTTCGCACCCCCTTACCAGTGTAGCGGCGTTCTCCCGAAGCTGTCTTGTCGATTGATGTCAGTCGCATCGAGTTCGGCCAAGGCCTTCACCACCTCGTACAGCCCTCGCTCGGCCGCCAGCGTAACTGGGGTCTTCCGAATGGTCAAGAGGGGGGGGCGGTTACGGTACCAGGAGATCCTCAACATGCAGAATTCAAACCGATACGTGTACACTCAAAATCGAACGCAGCGCAAGTGAACAGCTTCAACGAAGTCCAGTATCAAGTAGCTGAAACTCAATCTTCCGTGCAAGGGCTTCAACGCATCCCCTCTGGAAATAATGGTCTCGAACGGGTACAGTACGTCCTTGCGAGGTTGCGTATATTCAGCAAAACAGCAGTGGCTGACTGCTTCTTGGCGTTTTCGGGGCGTTCTTTCATGGGTAGTGGTTTACCTGCAGGTGCGCATCTTGAGTGTTGGGATTCGCCCCAGAAGAAAGAAGAAAGCCAACCTCATCCACATCGCCTTTCACGGCCGCTTGGTGCAAACTAGTCCGCCCCTGCATGGGGGGAAGCAGGCAGGGCGGGGGGTGGAGCGAAAGAGAGAATTTTTGGTAATGTACAGCCGCAGTGCTATTGAACGACTCGGCATGTTCGGGTGTGGGGAAGAGGGGAGGCGCACGCCGTTCGGTCAAGGTAGTTAGTGAAAAGGCCTGGCTTCCCGACTGCCTATATAGACATGACCAAAGATGTTTGCGCGCTCGAGTTGCCGTATGTGCATGTAGTATAGGTTGCACCAAAGTGTGGCAGCATTTGGGTCGCGAAACTAACCGCAGCAGTTTCGCACATCAGCACTACAAAACTGCCGGGCGGAGTGAAGTAAACGAAAGGGCGCCGGGGAAAAACAGCCGTCGCGGCTCTCGCACAAGGTGATCGACACAGCGCAGAGGTGATAACTCCCAACTCTCAACAGCAGCAGGCAATCACACTCTCGTACACAGCAGGTAGCGCGCTGCCCTGCGTAGCCTACATCCGGTGCGGAGTTGGTGTTAAACTTGCCGCCGTCTTTTGCCGTCACCGACAACAAATGCGGTACTGCTGTAGAACATGCATAGAACGCACCGTCTCATCTTGGGTGTCCGGGATAGAACCTTTCATGGCACAGGCGTGTTAGCACGGAAAGCGAACAGCGGTACGGGTAGTGGTGAAGTGTGTTGGAAGTGCTGAGCAAGAGACGCAGCTGCAGTGGCAGCAAGAGAGCACAAAAGCAAGCGCGTGGTGGCGCCGTGAATCAGCAACGCGTTGATTGGGCAGGGTCGACAGTTCGCTTTGCTGTCATCAAAGAGCAAAGAGCATCACCGCCCCGGTTCGCTTCTCAGACAGCCGCTCTTTCCCAGAAAGGGTACCCAAACTTCACCAGCGTGCTTCGGGGCAGGGTTGAGTGAAGCCCAAGGAGATCCTTTGGGTAGGGGGAGTCACGTCACAGCACCTTCACAAGGTAAACGACCCCCACACGTGCGCGACGGAGAAAAATCAATCCGAGCTGCATTGAGGCGTTGAAGCATCTAACGGCAAAACTCGGCTTTTCGCGTTTGTGTTGACGGCTACATGTAGACTCTCTAGGTGCTTGTACTGCTAATAGGAGAGTCGATCAATACCTGGTACGTCGTTTCCGCCGTTCAACGGGGCATCGTTTGCCCTACTTGACCCACGATAATCGCGAGTTTTTTGTGCATCAGTCTCCCTCAATCTGAATACCTGTCGAATGATCATGAGCAACGCACACGTGTTGCCCCCTATGGAAAAATTACCATATATATTTTTTTATGCAGACAATACAAATCCTGGAATCACATCCCCTGGCGGTCCCTCCGCATAGAGTTTTGAGTTATTCTGCTATACCTCTCGCTGTAGTGCTGATCCCTAATCGTGCACATCCGATATGCCTTGCCCACACATAGAGACGCACACACCCCAATTTCTGTCAGGTTGGTTGGGGTTAGGTCTTCAGCAAACGGCGTTGACAGTCCGGTGCGTGCTTCAATGGCTTTGATTTCTATATGTTTTCGGAGGTAGACGCATGATCGTTCTGGAAGCCACTTCTGCTGACTACTGGAGTTAAGACTTTAATTTGGGCGGATTTTCGCAGGCCAACCGCGGACGCTGTAGTGGAGACCCCTAATCATGCACATCATGGATTCGTTCTATGGTCTTTTATCTCTACGATAGGCAAAGTATCGGCCGAATCGGGGGACCGTAGTGTTTCAGCAAACCTCGGTGAAAGTTGGTCCCCAAGAGCTGAAAAGGTTGCGCGCAGCAGCAGAAAGCTGGTTCAACTCAGCTGTGATCGTGAGGCATTTCTCGCGTCCAAAGCACAATCAAAGGGTGAAAACAGCTTTCCGGTGGAGGGTATGACCTTCTTGAGGTGCCCGTGTACTTTGGTGGCACGCCGAGGTCTGTGTGAGGAGCACGAGGTGGTGAAAGAACTGGGCTCAGCCTTGTCCAATCTGGGGAGGGGATGAAACAAAATTGACCCCGCTGAAACCTGCGGCGTGATTTTTTGTCCGTACTTTTTTTCGATTTCCTATAGGGGGCAACACGTGTGAACGTTGCGCGTGAAGAGGCTTCGGATAATCACGAAACCATGGGGTGTCTCGATCAACGAATACCATCCGTTTGTACTCTTTGGTTCAATCGTAAACGGAAAAGCGTTGCTGCGCCACAGCTGAACTGCAGTCGTTTCCAGCTGCTGCTGAACGGTGGTTGTATTCCCTGTTGTCTAGGGAGGCAACTCGAAACCGATGTATTTGTACGAGTGTCGTCTGCGGATTCTCCACAACAATATGTAGAGCATTGAACGATTAGCCGTTACGCGCACATCGCCACTGCGGTGGTCGGCGTCGGCCTCCAAAAGAAAAACCGCTCTCCCCAATGTCCTGTTCAAAACTATGATGTGCTAGCGGACCTGTAGCGTAAGGTTACGTTCTATCTGGGTGCGTATGCAAAGGGTCGAGGTCGAGTAGGACGTTTCAATTTGTTGTGTGCGCTTTTTTGCGGGCTTTGTTGACGCACAGATTGTTCGGCATGCAGCTGGCAGCGTTTTGTATTTTCTTTTGTAGTGGCCGAAGACGCGTTTACACCCGCACAGAGGATACCTTCATTCACTTTCTTTTCCCACCTCCTCTGTTGTGCAGCAAGTGTTTTTCGGCACAACAAGCTTCACCCCCACCGTCGGTAATACTTGTCCCCAAAACTGAGATAGTACAAAATACTGGAAACAAACCACCACCAGCCCCATTTTTTTGCTTGTTTTAGCCAAGTTGTTCATATGGCAGTCTGGCACGTTCATCAACACGTACATCTCCAGGTTGAAAATGGAGGTAGATGCTGCCGCGGAGAACGGTGCAAGCTCCTCTTCAGGAGGAAAGATGGACCATGGTACAGTAGAGGAGCAGGAAAAAGATGAAGACGAATGTGCGTTATTTGCGACCAGCATGCCTCGAGATGTCTGGGCGAACCCATCTTTGGCAGCCTTGGCGGCGATGATCGATGAGGACGCGGAGGAGAAAGGTGAGAGTGGCGAGGCGGGAAAAAATATGTCCGTCAACGCTTTTGACAAATCCGGATTGGTTTCGGTAGAGAACAGGCCAGATGTTGAGGGTACTGTGCGTCTATGAAAAGCTCTCCAAGATAGCTAATCTGAAAGCATCCTTTCGTCACAGTAGTATTGTGCGTCTACGAGAAGCTCTTCAACAGCTATTTTGAAAGCATCCCTTGATCACAATAGTGATTGCGGCGGGAACTGAGTGTGTTCGCTGGCGCTTGCCCAAGCTCAGCAGCGATCGGGGCGGGAATTGAGTCTGTTCGCTGGCGCTTGCCCAAGTTCCCGTGATACCGCTTAATCGTTTCGAGTCGGAAACCTATGTACCGCATAGATAATTCTTGCAACTCGCACCGCACGGCTTTGGACCGAGTCAAGTCATGCGACAGATATCTCTTGGGCAGAGACGAGCACCTTACGATGCATGTGCCAGCACGCGGCCTGCGCACTCACCTCTTCGGTGCTGCGCTTCCCCTGGCCTTGTTGTTTTAAGTCGCAAGAAAATGTTTGTGGGTTTTGTTTTTTTGTTTTGGGTATTTTTCATTTTCCTGGTTTTGGCAGGGCATATTGCCTTGAACGGACACCTATTACCATTCAAGTGTGGGCCCTTGCGTTCCACAGAAAAACAGGTTGATGGACAAGAACACAGCCGCAGCAACGACCACCAAGGTGCACCACGAGAGGGAGGCTCCAGCATCAGCGACGATGGCAACAAAGACGGACTAGCTCCACCGATTCAAGGCGCTCACTCCACAACCGCCAACCAAAACGGTGTCCGCGGTGGTACGGCCCCCACCTCGGGGTCGAGGCATCAGCGCCGAGAGGACACGAGGCGAAGGCGAACCGACCGGAGAGCATCCCCCTATGGCCCGGCTGCTGGTCGGCGAGAACAGGGAGAACATAAATCATCGGGGAGAAGTGGTATCAGGGATCGAGGGTCAGCGCCGACGACGGGGGAAACGCAGGTCTTGATGTCCTTGTGGGGGTTGTAGGTTGTAGGCTTCCATGACGACGGCGTTACGCACTTCGCCCTGAAACCTCTTGTGACTCTGGGAAACGTACAACCCAGTGAGGAACGGAGCATCGATGGCTTGATCTGAGATTTGGCTTAGCAGAGTCAAGATCCATTTGGCGGCTGTTGTGTATGCACTGCGAAGGGGGAAAGGAGAGGTCATGCACGTGACGGAATGGGGCAAGCTTTTTGGGGTCGTTCGCAGTGCCTTGATCAGAAAGTTTCCATCTCCAAGATTTGTATATGAAGATACCGCTGAGTTGCGATTACTCCTTACACGCAGGATGAGGTTCGTGCGTTCTCACGGTCGAGAGCAATCTAAAATCTGCTCCCGTACGATTGAATACGGTTGGTCGTGGCGTAGTTGGAGGCACATTATTCTAAGTCGCATGGTGGACTCAAGGATTGTTTCTATTGGGGGAGAGGGTTATGTATCTAAGAGAGCTTCGAAATGTCTGGCAAGAAAAATAGTTCCACTTACAGAGCCAAGTTCGGGCAAGCACAGCAGAAAACGCGCCGAATACAGTATGTATTGCTTGAGACGGCCGTCCCGACACTAGGGAAGGGCCATATAGCCTGTGATTACGACAAAGAGAGAGGTGGCATTGGAAAACCAACACCAACATGGTCGGGAGACGCATCCAGCCCAGTTCTTGTCCCAAAAAATAAGAGTAGCTTCCGTTGCAAAACACAACCTCACGCCGATGTGCTACAGTAGTATGCCGTCAAAGAGCAAACGGTTCGCGCATTGTCCAGAACCGCTCAATCCAATCATGAGCGCAACAAGAATAGCAAGCACTCTGCTTTTTTTCCGGGTGCACGACGACCAAACCTCACCCTCAGACTCTCGTCGGCACGATGAGTGTTTTCAGGGGATGATAAAAACGATGCTGTATCTACTACTGTACTTGGGGTGAAACTATAACGAGCATCAACTTTCATGGGGCCTGATCTATTCCTGACGCCAGGGAGGCAGTCATGCTGGCCGGGATAAACACATGTACAACAAAATGTGCACCCCTTTTCGCGACGTGGTTCAGAGATACGAAGTAGAATTTTGTCTGGATGAGGCCTCCTGTTGATTTCCATTTCTCCTTTCCGGGTTCGTTCGTTGCTCGATGAATTTGTTTGTGATCTGCTATTTAGTTGGACCTGTACGGATGTTAGAAGGTACCTTGGGCAGAGACTGGAGCGGTTTTTCTGAAATGTATTCGGCGAAAACTCAACAATAACAAAGGGGCTCTCCATTTCGTCATGAACAGCACTTCGTGACAAAAAGAAACACAGGTACTTTCTGACGCTATGAATTCATTGCTAATCTGTCTCAGACTCTTTTCTATGATAGAGATGGATTCGTTGTGTCATATTAAGAAAAATAAAAAAAAGAAACACAGCTCAGCGACGGATCCTGCACTGAACTCTACTGGGTAGGTCGGCAAAAATAACGTGATGGGAGAACCTTTCTGATATGTCGTGCGCTTGCAAATTCGCCCGCCTCTACACCTACTACCTGGAAAACTGTCTCCCGATATCTAGACTCACAGGGTGTCGCGATGCATTAGACTTGATATTATAATAGAGTGGATGCACGTGGGGTAGTTTTCTTTTTTCGGCGCGGAACAAGGAAACCCTCTTGCCTTCATCAAGGCGTAAACCTCGGACAAAGTGGAGTACTGTCGTCTCATATGGTGGTGGCCGTTGCAGAACCCAGTTGTTCCAAGTAGAAACTGCGGGGTCTGTGGCTTCGGGGTTATTTAGAGCGGTCGGATACAGCTGTTTGCAGAAGTCGTAGTGATAGTGTAGACTGTGCTACATTATATATTCCGAACCCTCTGTTCTCGTCCACATGGCTTGCTCGAAAACCGGTGGGGAGAAATATTGTACAGCACCTGCCCCCGCTATCATGTAGTAAGAAACGGCTACACTGACAGCAAGTCCCTCCTTCAGAGCCTCGACGAATGAGGACAGAAGACTTTTGCGAAGGGTGCATTTACCAGAGATCATGTTATATATATATACTTACATATACTTACAGGATGGTCGTCGTGACGTGATACATTTCTTGTTATTAGTATGGAAAAAAATTAAAAAAAGATGGCTCGATTTTTGAATTTCTACAGCAGTATGGACCAGACGCCGACTTTACATGGAAGTCGTACGAGTGTCGATTTAGTTGTGCTGTCACAGCATCTTCCACGCACTTCTGCCAGTGCTGATTTGTTGATTGGAGTCTTGTAGGTCGAGATACAGCAGTGGGATTCTCGGGTTGTGGAGGCAAAAGTGAACGACCGCGGCAATCGACAAAATCGCCTTCAATCTCGTGTGGCATGCCTGTTGGACCTAAGTGAGAAGCATCGATGGGCCGGCCGCCCCGTAGAGACTAAATCGTTTTCACATGTGAGTCCACTTTCAACAGGGGGTGGGGTGGGGTTGAGAGTACGACGCTATCGTACTACTTATCGAGGTGTGGGGTTTCAGCTTTCTACTCCTTCATGAATCTGGATGGTCGACATATTTGGTTGATCGCTAAGTAGGGATGCATCCCCAAGTTCTCCCGCCGTTGGTGCCGAGAGATGCAGAAACTCAACCTCAGAGAATCCCACATGCGTCGTAGACATTTAGAGATGGTTGATGCATAGCGAACTATTAGCTGTGCGTGCGGGAGACGGGTAAGACTTGTCCGGTCTCCGCACTCACTCATAACACCCGGACCGTCGGCGTAGTTCACCACAGTGGTCACTTCGGAGGCCACGACAAGGGAGCCGATCCCGAACACCACCAAAACCCGGCTCTTCGGATGGTTCCGAGTATAGATGTGGCGGAGATAGAAAGGTGGTTCTTGTTGAGGCCCGTTTCCTCTCGATTCCGGATGGGAGATACGCAGGAGGAATATCTCCACGAGAGCCATCAAGATTGTCCCCCAAGCGACGACGAGTGTGGGCCCCAGCAAAATCGAAAAGAAGCTGCCACCTGTGTGTGCGGTTGGAGTTCGTGAGGCAAAAAATACAGACAGCGGCAGTGTTGAGGACATCCTAGTCTTTCGCCACTAGATGTTTGAGCCTATCTACCGTACCTAAGACTGTTGCCAGGATTTTTCTGTATCACCGACACGCAGCTCTTCCACTGCTCATGATAAATAGTAAGGATGTGTGCTTCGTTTCTTGCGATATGTATGCATAGCCATTTAGTGAATATTGTCAAGAACTCGAGAGGTTCGTCTGAAATTTAGGTGGGGCAGCCATGTGGCTCTGGCGTTTTTGCATAGCCAAACGCGAGGTGTCTTTACATATTCTGGACCGGGTTTGTGCCTATCGCTCCACCCAGGTCGACTGCGTGCAAACATCATGTTATCGATAGGCTGCAAGAACGCGACATTTTGGAGGTTGGTGGTTTCTTGATGCTGGAGAAACCTTCACCAGGTAGATATCTCTCGCGCGCACAAGCGTTTGTCTATTTTCTCCACACCGTTTAGTTCGTGACGTGACACTTATAGAGAGCACACAGTGTGTACACGTGTCCGCTTCTCATCATCGACGGCGCGGCAAGCAGCTATCGTTGACACTTCGACTGATTTGAAGGTACTCCCGATGAACCAGTGGTCATCTGCAGCAGCGATCACACTCAATACCCAAGCGAAGCGACCCTCCGTGTGTTCGAGGGGGCAGGGTAAGGCAGGAGACTGTTCGATTTCATGTACTCAGCGGGTGGGGTCGTTTCACTTGTCGGATTATTGCCGTTGTGCTGCTATCAGTTTAGCGTTTCTCCGTTCCATGATGTGTTTGCATGTGTACTTCAGAAACATGCCACCCTTCACCCCGGCTGTTGTCACTATCAGTCAGGAGTGCCTTGCATCGCGCGGGCCCGTGGGCTGCAATGGACAATTTTTCAGCGCTCTTGAAAGAGTGAGAGGCACACAAAAGATGCTGCGGGGCTCGATAACTTCGACCAGACCCGAGCCGTGTCACACAAGACGGAGCGGCTCAACGGCGATCGAAGACATGTTCTGCCAACAAGGACCAAAAAGACCACATGGAGGAACCTCAGTCATATCACATGTGCTACATTCAAGTCTTGAGATGGCGACCAGACTCATTTTCCCTCTTCGTCAGCAGTGTACTGTACCAAGACGTTCCCCATGTACCAACGCCGACTTTCGCGCTTTTGGCCGCTGGGAGGGAAAAACACACATGTACAAGGAGGCAGTATCAGCAGCAGCGGCGGCGGCGGCGACCCAAGTGTTCGCTCGAGGATGTTTCTCTCCTGTCTCTCATCTTCATCGTTATTTTGAGACCCATTCTCACGGACACCTACGGAATCATTGCTGCATGTACGCATAAAGCTGCTTGGCTGGCCAAACGAAAACGAAAGCTGCCCCTGAAACACTCACTACAATTGTCACCACCAACGGACGCCTGGAAACTTCCTCGCCTTCGGAGGAAGTGGGGTGGACCTGGGATTCCTGAACATCAAGCGCACACAGACATTGTGGGCCGAAATACGATCAACGTGATGGGATTTAAACGGCAAGTTTGCCACCGACGTCCATTTTCTTCCGAAACATTCTCGAAGAGGATCCAAGATGTACCTGCAACGTAAAAAATAGTAGCATCACGAAACAAGAGGGTTGGAGTTGCGTCTGGGTTGCTTTCGTGTGGGTTTCTTTTCTTAAGTGGGTCCCTATCCGAATGTTGTGGCAAGCCATGTCGATCAATCGTCTGCTCTGTAGAGTCAAGCAGCCGATCTTCTGAAGCGGACGTGTGGACATACCAGCGGCTCGTGTCGCGACAACGAACAGTTCAACGCGTGCACACCCGGCTGTCGTACTCAATGGTAATCGGTGATGTCCACTTCCGAATAAGATTGTCACAGGCGCGTATACCTTACCACGTCTCCTGTGCACGCTCAAACCTATGTATCACTATCCACTATATACTGAGCTCACACCAATCGGTTGTGCTTTGGTCCATCGGTGTTGATTGGGGTAGGTTTTGTAGGGCTAGGAAATTGGGAAAACGGACCGCAAAAACGCCCACGAAAAGACAGACGCAAAAAGATTGTTGTGAACCGTCTACAAACGAAAACTCCGCGCGGCAAGAAGACAGTAACCCCCCCCCCCCCCCCCACCCCGGATCAATTGGGGTTCAAGGGACGTGAGAATTGAAGGATAGAGACATCGTAAGCGAAATACGGAAATATCCGGTGGATAGGGAAGGCAACAAGAAAGGGCTTAGATCCGATGAAAAGGGAGGAGGGGGAGTCGGATTCCTAATCAAGGAACACTTGTCTGACGTGGTGGAAGTAGTGGTTGAAGATACCTCGAGAGCGGGGTGAGAATGTTTTGGGTCTAGTGTACGTACTACCGTCTTCGAAGAAAGTCGCAAGCAAAGCGCAGGAGGACTTTGGATAAATTGGGGAAGATGCCCAGAGGTTCAGAAGGAAAAGGGAAAAGTTGCCATAGTGGCCGATATGTTGTTCGAAAGCGGAGGTGGCAACACCTGAGTGAATGGATGTAATGTTCGATCTCATCAATGCATGCATTCCCTCCTCATGAATTTCCCACCCCCGTCTTCCGTCCGCCTTACGTTTGGTGATCGGGCACTGACCTTTCCACGAAAATTCCTTTCTGTTTCTACGCAACGGACGGACGCGTGGACCTCACATCGTCTAAGACTTACCCTTTCGTATCGATGTCATAATCGCCTCTACTTCCTCTGCCTATCAAAGCGCTGCACCGGCCCCACGCATGCTGGCCGCCCGCCCCCCCCGGGGGCGGGGCGCAAGTCGTTGCCCTACATAGTTACTACAGGACTGCTTTTTGCTGTACATCTGGACATACATGTCGATTTGTGCACACAGTACTACAGCAGACTGCGCTTCAATATTATTGTACTGTAGTACTGTAGACATCTTTGGCGAAATGAGTCTGTAGCCATGACTTTTCGACTGCTTTACTTCTCGGCCTCGTTACAATATCACCTCTCGACTCTCGATCTCTCGATCTCTCGATCTCTCGATTCTCGATCGCTCCGCTCTCCGCTCTCCGTAGATCGGTCGTGCGATTACGCCGCATCTGGGTGTTAACCCGCCGCGCATCTCCGGAGAGAAGGCTCTGCTAACCCTAACGCTGTTCAGTGCAGCAGGAAGGTGCCTTGTTCAGTGCAGCGGGAAGGAGCTTTGTGTGCGGGTTGTGCTGAGAGATTTTGTGTTTATTGTTGCCATCGGCTGTGCTGTGGGGGAGCGGAGTTGAAACTTGAAGTTTGAGAGAGAAGAAGGAGAAGCAATGCCGCGGTTGGACCACAGGAAGCTGGAAAGATTGGTCTCTCCCGGGGGAGTCTCGTGTTTACAAGGGAATGGAGAGGACGTGGCGCTTCGACGGAGAAGGGTAGCTGGTGCTGTTTCCCTTCAAATGGTGAGGATAGACAAGAGAGAGTTGAAAATCACATGGCAGACCACAAAACCATGGTGAACCCGGGGACTACGCTATAGCGTTGTGCCAGATTGCCTGTCTTCCTCTCTTCCCGAAGAGTTGACGGGATGAGCACGAGGGTGGTTTCGGTTCTCCCAAGTTCTCCCCAAATCCACAACACGAGTCGGGGCCGAAAAATCGAAAGACGGCCTTCCGGCGGTCAACTTTTCTGTACTGCTGTATTGCTGTAGTGGGTTTCATGCAAGAGCGGTAGACTACACTAAGTGCCTCGACACTAGACACGCCTACGTGTGTTGTTGCGGGATCGAATGTCCGAGGCCCGCCAGGGTCGTCACTGCTGTATGTCGACGCCCCGAGCCCCAATCCCCCGCACTGTGGGTCGTCCATGGCAGCTACAGTAGTGGTATGTCCTACTGCTGTAGTCAGCCTACACCCGTTCAGCAGCGTCTCCTCTCCGGAGATAAAGAGTCTATGATGCCGGGTGCAGCAGAAGAACACGAATGGTGTGGACCCAGATGCCCACACATGTCAGGACCGCAGCAGTAGCAGCGTCCGGAAGAACAGACCCAAGACGCACGTCGCTAATCCACGATGTCCTCTGCAGATGAGTGTTTGCAGGTTGGGACGTCGACAACGGCAACCAGCCTGTTTGATCACCGCCCGCATCTGCTGTTTGTCTTGAATTTTGACTTGTGGAAAATTGTCTTGGTTTCAGAGGAGGCCTGTGGGGGTAGACCGCTGCTGGTGGAGACAAGTCACAACCGCTTCTTCGCGCACAACCCAATGGACTTTTCATGCCCAACTCCTTCCAACTGGTCTTGCGTATCTCGTCCGCGATAACTGGATGCTGTTTCGGTCGTTTCGAATTCAGAAATCAGTAAAAACCCAGAGCGGCTATTCTCTCTGTTGGCCGTGCGCTCGGAGGATGCCGCAGTAAGAGGAACGGACTGTTTGTTACCCAGATACGCTGACTATTCCTTCCATGCTTCCCGGTGCGTGTGTGTGCTTAACGATAGATATACGCGGCTTTCACGCTGGGTTTCGCGTTGTACGAGATATCGACTGGCGGTAGCCTCGTGCACATGCGCCCGCCTGCAGAATGTGAGCCAGCCTCTGACTACGATTCGGTGGTACAGCTTTGAGGTCAGCGGGAACTCGCGCACCGCTGCTATCTGCGGGTGTCTAGAGCACAAGTTTTGTCTTGGTTATCGCCCGTGCTTGTATTCGCTATCTCTGGTCTTGGCCGGCATGGAATCCTGCTCATATGTAAACTCAGAAGAACCCTTTCGGGACGACCTTTTGGCACCCAAGCGCAGGCCTCGAATTATGCTCGCAGGGAATAGAGTATCGGCCTACATACTGGTGGTGGGCTCTGCTGCACGGGAGTTGGCTGGTTCCTTCATGGGGCCAGTCGTAGCGGAGGGGAACCCCCTTGTCTTCTTGTGCACCGGTATAGGTATATTGCTTAACCGACGTCACTATAATACTGTAGTCAGCCTGTTGTCGTAGAAAATGCCGCGCAAGTACTATTTTGTAATAGGATGATCCCAACCCGGGGGCAGCCGGGCGTCGCATGTGTCGGATAGGGTAAATGGCTGCTTGGCGTGAATGCACCGAACAGCCCGTTGTTGCTGCATTATCTCGTCGTGTTGTAAGGAAAGTGAGACACGCCCCTCTCGCCGGGGTGATCCTGAAAGCCAACACACGTTTCCCCAGTATTCCACCGCTAAACATCTCCGTAGATGTATGAATATCTCCGTAGATGCATGGAATCCCCGCCGGTTTTGCATTGCTATAATGCCCCATCAAGCGTCGTGTATTGATGTTGTTCCCTGTCCTCCTGCTTGAGTGTGTACATCTTGTGCTTCCACCGCACAAACTTATCGTCCACATATGTACCACGGTCGCTGCGGTGGGTCTGGGCCGCTTATTCCATTTGCCTTGCTCTCTTGTCCACACTTTAGCTGAGCTTGGTGCTCACATGGATTGGACGCACACTCAACGGCCCGACAACCTTGAGATATCTGTATATCTGCAATTATGACAAATTGTGGTGCTCGACTAAATAGTGCAGGTTGGCCCTCGAGCCCACCGAGCCTGTGGTTGTGTGCGTTTTTTACCCCACATCACCGATTCTGCTGTGCTGTGCCATTTCGTCGGTAATTCTCCGCAGTGTTTAAGGTGGTGGCGTACAGCGTGTCGTGCCTGCTCGTCTACCGCAGCGTATCATTGGTGAGGGTGAACTACTCGCGATAGGAGCTCAATCACTCCATTACAGCCAACTATGTTCGTATGGCTGTAGGTGGACAGATCTGTGTATCGTACTTGAGCTGATGTGATACAGGTAGATGGGTCGAAATCATCCCAAGATCATCTCGCGTAGCCTCATCATTTGTCTGATGCTGTACATGATGTAGAGCATGTCTTCACGCACACGCACAATCTCCGTGGTTACGTTTTGGTATGCTGCCTAACACTCGCGTTCCCGCCTCCCTTTCTGATGCTCGCATCGACAGTATTTGAGACTTATGCTGATCTGGACAATTACGACGGCCTTCAGCGGGGTGTTCCAATCGCTTCTGTGGTTGGAAAACTCTAGTGGCTCTGCGACAGAGAGACGGTTGGTCTGGACGATGCTAGTGCTCAGCATCGCAGGAATGGCTGGCAATGTAAGTCCGTATGCCCACAGGGTATTCCACTGCAACAACGGCCTTGTGATCCCACTGTGTAACGGTCGCGCGGTCTATTTTGCAAATATTTTGTTGTTTGCCAAGGTATTTGCTTTGACGGCTTCTCTCGTCTTGGTGGAGATTTCCTCAGCCGTCTGTACGTTTCTTCGTCATGGCATGATTTGCCAAGCTTTCACAGGACCGATGTCCATTACCTTTGTACTTCCTCGTTATCACCTGCTCGATTCACTAGCACAAATTCTCGGGAAAGTTGTTGTTGTTGTTGTTGTTTTGTTGTCTCCACAATGATAAGCGTTCCGATCTCTCTACCCAGTAACTTCTTCTGTCCGTACTAGTCTAACACTTGACGCGGTCGATTCCCGTGGTCACAGGCTAACTTACCCAAAAGGTTTACCAACATAAGATGGACCCGAAGAGTCCGCAAGTCCCTAGAAATCAACGACAGACATTCTAGATCCCTCCGCTCGCCTCTACACGCTATGCGAGGCAACCATAGACTGGAAAAAGAAAAGAAGAAGAAAAAAGAAAAATATGAAGAAAGACAGCAGAGGGAGACAAAGAGGGACAAAGAGAAAGACACGCCAGAACCACTATCGTAGCGATAACCAAACAAACAACTCAACGCAACACAAAATGAAACGAGCCACTCAAAGTGGAGTTGCTTTTTTGTGCCATACAGGAGTTCTGCCTGGCACACGTTTGTTCCAGGTCCTCTCCTCCATGACGGGATTACTACAACCTGGTCGTTCGATGAGCAGCCGCCTACAATCCATTTCGCAAACTCCGGACCCTTATTTCCTCCTGTGTGTCTGCGGCGTGTACCTGCCGTTGCTCCGTTGCATATTGGGCTGCCGGTGCTTGCAGATTATCGGAGCCGTGACAGTGTTTCCGTCCGTGGGGGGGTCATCGGGGAAGGCCAGACGTCGCCGCTACAAATCGTCACTCAAAGAGACCTGATCAGGATCCGCGCTTGGATGTACAGCGCGCAATCTACACTCGGCTCTCAACAAGTGCAGCATAGTTCGGCAGCTGGAATATTTAGCTGTACGACATTTACATTTTGAAGAGCAGGCGGCATCATGAACACTTTTTGCTTTCGGCGAGGTGGATGTTTCCACTTGATTGATAGGCTCGTTGCAACTGCTGTCGTGACCAGCAAGAAGAAATCATCGTTCTGTGCTAAGGTGAGGCCAACTTGACGGCAAGGATATCACAATATCGCTTCTTGTGTGACCTTGGCTTAAATTGCAATGCCGAAGATGGTGATCACGCACGCCATGGTCTCATTTTCCCAGCGAACAGTGCTGGCCCCATCGGCTCTCGGGTCCCAAAAAGCGGCGGTTGTTGAATCCACCTGTGCCGATGTTCGCTGTTGCATACGCTCCACCAGTAAGCAGCTTACCTGTGGGGTAGTGAGTGCTCTGTGCTGGGTAAGAGACAATTGAACATGTACACTACGGTGCGCTAGGAAGAGTGCTCATCTTGCTGTTGGTTACGCTCATGTTCTCTCAACATGTTTTTGAAGGCGCTGGATTGACTGGAGTGGAATTTCGATCGAGAAGTGCCCCTGCGTAGTAAAAGGTGCGCTGTACCCATGTGATTGAGGATCGTACATGTGCATACAGAATACCGTTTTGGGAGAATTCTCAGACGTGGACCCTCATTTTGGTCTGTGAAAACTATCGCGTCCCGCCGAGCAGCTCCCTCACCCCGAACTTGAAGTTTTCACATAACCTTGTCAGCCCCGTGATGCAGCGAGCTGTGATGGTGTCTGTCCAATCTCCCACCTGTTGCGGCGAGATGAAACCATGCACAAGTATAATTCGCTTTGCAACAGAGGGCGTTCACTGGAAAATAGTTGCAGCAATGGTGGATGAAGAAATACGTGCAGGATGAAATTACTCTCAGGGCTGGTCTTTACCACTTTGGTGCTCCCACAGTTCACACCCACTCCACCAATAGTTAGAGCAGGAAGAACCACAGAAGTCGCTAGTTGATTGGGTGAAATTATGACAAGAGCACGTTTTTTTTTTTTATCTACCTGAAGTTCCAGCGAGCAATACTATAACCATGAAAATCATTTTTTTCAAATCATTGTTCAGCGAAGCGGCACACATAGTTCCCAAAGGCAACCAAAATTCACGCCACGTTATAACATAGCACGAGGTACAGTAGTCTTCAAACTCGCGCACCACACACGCTCCACCATCAATCCTTGAGCACAAGATGATACCCTCCTCGCATGCTGACCAACAGCACCGCGACAAGTAGCAGCAGCAGCAACCTAGCAACCGCAGCATATGCGTATGTGCCCTCGCTTTCTATACTGTATGGATGGCTGTGCCACCCTTGCAACCCTTCCATCGAGTTCGTACAATGAGGTAGGGTGTTGCCAGCCCGCGTAGCTCTCAACGGGCTCACTGACCGTGGCCCTGTCTCCCCATATCGACACACCCAACTGCCGACCCGCGCAGTTCCCAAGGAGCCCACTGGCCGTTGCCCCAACCCATCTCCACACAATAGTAAACCAGCTCCGCAATACCTCCACAGTCTATTCGTTGTTATGCCGACCAATCAACTCAAACTCTAGGTCCGGTTTTGCTACAAAGGGGTTAGGACCCGCCACTATTTTACTCCCACAGTTCTGTGGATCTTCCTGTTCTAACTGTTGGTGTGGGTGTGAAGTGTGGGAGCACCAAAGTGGTTAAGACCAGCCCTCACGACATGTGGACAATGCCCGGTCAACAATATAATAGTAGACCTCCCAGCAACATCGGACAGGGACGAGGCTTTCCTACAGTACGTACGCATTTTTTTCTGACGGACGGAGTATCAGTTCGACAACACACCGAACTCTTGAATTTTTTACTGCCGCCTTCGTACATCGCTGATCCGGTTTGATATGGTTGGCAAAGTCTGTCTGTGGTGTCTCACGTTTCGGTGGGAGTATCGCCTCCCCTCCAACACCTTGCCGACGGCGTCCTGAGCGATCTCCTGAGCTTCCTCTGAGATGCATATGTAGTCACATAAAACAATACCCCGTTCGAGCCATAGACTTCCCAAGCAGTAGTCTAGATGGTCTGTGTCCGACAGACACCTACGCAAAGGATCTGTTCACACTACTCTGCGACCACCATTGCTTGTTCAATCTACATGTAACACATCGGCCCGTGCGTTACTGTAGATTCATTCAGGACGCTGTTTTGGTTCTGACCTTGAAGTTGCTTACGGGGATACGAAATGATCTGCAAGTACACGTAGGCTTCAGGAGGGTTCAACCAACAGCAGTAATAATACATGGATTCTACCAGGTTCAAGGAGCAACTCGGAAAGATCTTGGTTGCCACAAAGTATGTTCTCAGGGACTACAAGTAAACAATCCGGCTCCCTCGCCCGGCCCCTTCTCAGTCAGGATGTATTCACTGTCTGTAGTCCGGTCTAAACGTACGCCGACGCCAAAGATCTCGTCGCCGGTCCACAGCGAGATGATGGATGCACAACCACAACCGTACCGTTGTATCTTATCCTGGGCACAAAATAATCTGTGGACGAATTCCCCTGCCAAAATGACTCACCTGTGAGTTCCGTGAAGTCAAAGACACCCGCAGCTACATCGGCCATGTTTCCTCTGTGTACGCGCCCGAGGCCGACTTACAACAACAGCGGGATGCAGGTATGTGTATTGTGCGTTGGTAGTTGGTGCTTTTGAGCTTGCGGTCTGTGTGGAAAAGGAAGAGAGTGACCAAAAGAGGTATGTTTACTTTGGTTGTTTTCAGATAGCTGGCACCAGCGGGTACAGCATCAGATTCATTCAAATGGATTCATTCCGATCCTGATCACGTGATGATCAACATCCGACACTGATGATCAACATCCGACACAAGACACAAGTTCTTTTATGGGGGGGGGGTGAAACGGCAATATGCATACCGCCTCCCGCTCTCTTTGGCACTCCTCTCTCTCCCCCGACCTCTCCCCCATTTCTGCTGCTGACTGAGTCGCGTCCCCTCTACATAGTCTCTGTCTCTCTGTCTCTGTCCAGCGCCTCCTTGCGATCCTCGGCGGACCCCCGTTGAGGGAGAGGCACGCAAGGCACGCAAGGCCTATCTACTCCCAATTGACCGTTGATGATAGCTGGGAGCGATAGATAAGAGCAGCGGAATTTTGAATCTCGCAACCTGTTTTCGCAAAGGCATTGCGAGTGCGTCGAGTGTCTTCAACACGCAGGGACAGGGGAGAGATGAAGCCATCATGCTCTATGCTTGCAGCAGTTGTCGTGCTCACCGCACGATCTTCAGTATCATTCCACTACTGCAGCTGGAGGGCGAAGCAGCCGCGCCATCACCAGCTGAAGCAGCAGCACAAGCAGCAGCAGTTCTTCGCCCCTATGCGTAGGGTGGACCTGGAGCAGCAGCACTCAACCTCCAGATGGCGCCGCCGAAGTTCGCTCCAGCTTTCCGGAGTCGGGTCCACCGTCGCTCCACCTCCGACTACCCAGGTGTGTGTTTCACGGGCGACACGTAGGCACAAAGTTATTGCGTTAGGACGGAAACCATACCACGCTCTCGGTCTGTTCTCTCGGCGGCGCAATCAAAGGCGGTTCAAATACTTTTGCAGCTGCACTAGAACACCTTCGGATACTCAGGTCTATTCGTGTAGTCTAGGTGTGCTGAGTACAGAGTGCAGGCGTTGTTCAGCAGCACATCACAGATTACCTAGCGCGGAGAGCGTTAACTGGTGTTCATTGGAGAGCACGTTCGATATTTCGAGTTGTTATGACCGACGTTGTTGTCCTCGTCTTGTATTAGCAATACCCCGTTCTCCACGATGAACGCGTGTTGTAGGTATCCCCTCGGACAGCAGCATCTGGTAATGCGAGCAGCGAACAGTTCTGTCTGCTACAGTACCCTTCGCTTGCAGTCGAAACGACTTTGCTGAATATGGGCTGGGTGAAGTAGAGGAAGCAAGTAGGCGTGCACTCTTGCCTTTGTGACCACACATGAGCGGGGCCAACGTTTCGGGCCCTATTAGACGGCAGCTGTACCAAGCAAGCGCTCACCAGCAGTTGTGGATTTGTCACCACCAAGCCGTCACCTACGTCTACTGCTGTTGCGTATGTTCCTTTTGTCCGCTCATTTAAGTGATGCAGAACGCCAAGGTAAATCGGTAGTGAGGTTTGCCTCCCATCGGCATAAGAAAGGTGGCAAACATTAATATTCTGCGACACCTCCTAAGAGATTCCGAGAAGTCTCCGCAAGGTACCCGGTGTGTACCAATGGTGTACGGCTGTGTAGTGCCACACACGTCTTTCATCTACGCATCTGACGAGTGCACGAGTAAACCGTCTGACGCGCATCGAAATTGCATGCTTCAAAAGCGTACGCGTCATAATGTGGAGTATTGTCGACGAGCGTGTCCTCACCGCCGCAAGAACAAGCCTCCATGCTGTTCCCTCAATACACTCTACCACCATACAACGTGTACTCGATACTGCTTCAATTGCGTCCTGAATCATTCGTGTATTTATTCGCTCTTTGCTGCGCTTTGCACCGGTCAATTTGTGGCTTCAACGCCGGGTCGTCCGTTTGCGATTCTGCGGCTGCTGCTGCTGCTGCTGCTGCTCGATATACCCCTACCCTCCCGGCGGACCGGGATCATGATGGATATCTGGATGCTTGATGAACATCTGGGTGGGTTTGGGATGATGGAACTGGAATCTGGATTTCGGACCCCATATCTGGATGGTGGAACTGGCATCTGGGTTGTGGGATGGTTCCTGCCTGGGTTGTGGTGGAATTGGATACGGTATATTTGGACCGTGGACGCTCCCGTGGGTCAGACCACGGCTCGCGGAGGTGGCGAAGATGGCATTCGAGAACTCACAAGAGAGGTGAGGGGGGGGTAGGGACTGCATCATAGGCACACACGGGTCATGTCAATGGTACATCTGTAGCAACTATCGTTAGGGGTAGCTAGCGGTTCTAAATATGGTGTAGTACATTATATATATATGGAGTAGTTTTTTACGTACCACGCACTCGTGTTTAGCGTTCACCCCCGCACATGTATCCTCTGGATGCGAAATGTTTCGCCCGTCGTGTCTGTGCTGCCAAACGGCCTTGATCGATGGCAATGTACACTGGAATCCAATTAATTTCATGATAGCTCCTCTCTTGTCAGAAAAACCGTTGATATACCCTACGTAGATTCGACTTCGCCATAAATACGGAGCGAAATAGTGTATTTTCAACAACACATCACCGCACGTGCTCGTGCACTCTAACTCTGACCCCAATCCATTTAGCGGTGAAATGGCTTGATACAGGTAATACGTCAAGTTTCAGTGGTGTTTCGTCGAACATCGCGATGGTTCATGCTCACTTGCTTCCTAGAACGAGGGCGGCTCGTTGTGTGTCAGGGTACATGTTACGGGTAGAGTTGTAAGCTACAGTACTGTCGATAAATATACATGTCGTGATAGTTCGTGCAGCCTACCCTCTAAAGTTAGTCTGCACCCGCAACGCAAGTCCAGTACTACACTGTGCCATACGAATCACGATCCTCTCCTTTGAGCCGTATCCTTTCGCGCGTGCCTTTCGGGGGGGGTTGTTTTCACGGTGTGTGGTTGGTGCATTTCCCTGCAGGAGAGCGAGGCCGCAATACTGTCATTCGCGGATTCCGCGAAGAGGCACTGCCGCACACAGTCGGATTATGACGACCACATCGAGTTGCTACAAGGGTGAGAGAGAGTGAGAGAGAATTAAAGCAAGCAAGACGCAGGCGACTGCGTTACTGCAGGATATGCCTTGTTTATTCGAGTGTTTATGGAAGATCTGAAATGTTTGTCGTATCAACCGGCTGAGACTATGGCTGCCAATACCTCTTTGCTGGGTCGGGGTTCAACGAGAGTGTTGTGTTTGCGTCCTATGGAAGAATAATGGTCCGCCCGAACCCAGTTTCTCTGCCCCCCCCCCCTCTCGGCCACCCACGCCAGGATGCGATCATGGGGACAACCTTTGACGCAAAAGCGCGTCGGGTGCAAGCGCGTGGTGTTGGGCAACTTCAAGCGAGGAAACCTTGTCTGCATCGCCGCAGCGCAGGTGGTGTGGAGCACGTGAGTCGCCTATACCGATCGATGGCGTCGGTACTCACTTGGGTTTTATTTTTGTGATGAGGCATTATTTCCCTTCGTCTTGTCTCGCATGTGTTGACACGCTGGAATATCTCAAGCGATACCTTCTTGCTTTGGATTGATCAATTCGGTGTCGTTGGAGCAGAGTGCGTCTTGCACGGGGACGGTGTTGGTTTTTGAGTGGTGGCTGCTTAGAGCGTATGGGTGATGCCTGACCTCGTGCATGATAGCATGATCGGCTTATAGATGGATTGGCGTACAGGTGTGCTCAGTGCAAACGGCTTGGGCGGTATTTAGCAGGCCTGCTTTGATTTTTCCAGAAACCATTTCACGAATGTTTTTCAGACATAAGATCGTTGGTTGCCTTAGAAATTGAAAGAAGCACCGCGTTCTCAGCAACGTGATGGCCCATACTACTACCTGGCCATGTCCGCAACCAAGCTGGGGCGGCCTTTTGCTTTGAGATTGTCTCACCTTGTGTTTGGCGGCTTGATTCGCTCGGTGCGCGTTTCCGTGAATTGCTCAACCCCGACTCTACAACTCTACAATCTCTCAGAGGATATCTCAGCCGGGACGTGCGATTATCCCTGGCACTCATTGCGGTCAACCCCAAGTATGACATGCGAAAGGTCGGCTTCGAGACCATCAAGCGGATGAAGTCCTTCGGCATGCAGAACGCTGTGAGTCACCGTTAGTTCGTCGTCATTACTCGTATTCTTCGCCAACATAGAGTACCTACCATGGCAAGACGTTCCTGTTGGGTTGTCAGCGTCATGACGCTCCGGCGTGCCAGCTCCCCGGTGGTACTTGTGCGTCTTCCATCTTCTACACTCTTGTATTTTGGATGTTTTGGATCGGTATCGAGCCGACCCGTGTTACTGTCTTTGTCGAGCAAGTTTGGATCTGTGTTTCTCTGCTGTAGCCGCTGCCACTACGTATCAGCGGTACGACTATATTCAGTGTGCGGGTGAGTTTACGGTTTTGCTGGTGTGCCGTGGCGGAAGGAGCTATATGTGGACTTTGATGTGCCGCGCTGTTCCGCTTTCTTGTGAATGACCTAGGCCGTATATCAATATCAATGCCCGTTTTTCCTGTTATACATGCTGTATGCATGATGCTTTCTTTGTGTCCCCAGCTACTGCTGGATTTGTCGCCCTTGATGACGGTGCCGCGGCTAAGGGTGTTTTGTTTGGAGTCTACCCAAACGCTTGATGAGGATCCGGAAGGAGTGTTCCAGGTACAACTGCAGTAGTAGATAACTGAAACTCTAGTCGACTGATGTCGGCACTATTATATCACCTCGGGATTGTTTATTTCTCGCTTTTTTTGTTTTGTTCATGTTGGTTTATTTGAAATGGGTAAAACGCGCACCTTTGTATTGTTTACGTTTGTCTCAACTTGTCACAACACCGGAGTGGGGCCGTGTGTGAGCGCTCGAAAGAAAGGCTACTCGCGGGGTTCTGATATACCATCACGAGGACGCTTTCCTTTGCCGTTTTGTTTGTTCCCCGCTCCGTCTCCATATGGCCGCACAGGATAGACACCGCCTGGCCGACCTTCCAAGCTTGTCGGTCTTACGATGGAATATCCATATGCAAAATGAAAACACAAGTGCCATGTCGACGGCGCTCACTTGGTACTTTTCGCTGTTGTCTTCTCTTGCGCGTTTTTCCATCTGACTCTCAAACATTTTTTTCCTTCGCTATTTGCACCGCTGCTTGCGGTGCTATGATATTAACCCTTGGAATGGTGTGGTGAGACAGGATCCTCTCGTGCAGCAGTACAACAGCCGTGTGCGGCGAAGCTGCTACGTGTTGGACGATATCCCCACGTGGGCGGACTTGGGGCCGTATTGGTACGAGGGGGTTCTCCCGCGAAGCGTCCGTTTCTTCTTCCGGAAACGGTTTCACGCGGTGAGCACATCATCTGATTGGCCTAGCCTGGCCTGATCGTCTAGCAGTTGCCCGGTACGTGTTGCTGCCAGACGGCCTCCGATGATTTTGTTGCTTCCAATGCTCTTTATCCCTTGACCCCGTTTGTAAGTGCAACGTGGGTAGTTTCAAATCCAGCACAAACTTTACATTCTCAACTTTGGTGCACTATTTTGGCGTCGTATTCAGATCAAACACAACCGGCATGTTCTCGCCAGAGCAAACGATCTCCAAGTACCGTGTTTGGTTGTTCAAAACTTGTATCCGCAAGCCATGAGTGCCTTAATCTTGGCGCGCTCAGTGGCCTTTCCTGGTTAAGGTGGGACAACAAGCATTAACATGTTCGAAAGAAGCAATGTTAATGTTGTGTTTCGATAGTGAAAATGAACGACCGCCGGTCCAACCGCACAGGTGAACGAGTTTGAGGTGACCTTGCAGCGCCCAGGGGCAGGGCTGAGCACAGGGAGCGGGACTGTGGGAGGGGCCCGCGTCATCGCAATGGACGAGGTGAGGCATGGGTTTCTTTGGTGCACCCCAAGCACGTGCGTAAGCGTGTATTTCTCTAGCTTGATTTCTGGCCAGGAAGTGTGCGCTGCGTTGTGCGGCATCGTGTCTTTATAAGGTGATGAAGGTGTCACTGGTTCACCCCACGTAGATGCGCAAGCGCGTTTTCTCCGTGTTGCCAAGGAGACGTGCACTGCGTTGTATTTGGCCGTGTCGTATGGTACCACTGACGGCAGCATGCTCCCTGCCGCGAACTGAACCGGAATGATACCTTCAGTTTTCCTTTCTACGGTAGCGTTTGTGTTTGCTATCGTTGCTACTACTGTTGCTGCTGCCGTTGCTGCTACGGCTTGCTTCTGCGATGGTGTTTCCCTCTGTCGTTGTCGCCAACCTGTCATATACATGTGATGGACGATGACGCACGTCATGTTCACTTTTCCAGGCGGAGGCAGCCACCGAGATCCCTGGACACGGCAAGGTTAGGGAGATCGAACGACGGCTGGCAAGCCGCCTTCTAGAAGAGGTGAGCCAAAAATGATCAATTTGCAGGATTTCTGCCTACAGTAGAGCTTGCTTGGATTCGCCGTTCTCAGGCACGGTTTGTCTGGGTACTGGCCCGCGTGTGATCGAGGTAGCTACGGGTTGCAGCGCATGGCGGCGCAAGCTTGAGGCAAGCTTGAAGGGGCGGTGTTCATCAGAAGGAAGTGGCATTCTGCGACGCTCTCGTGACATCTGCGTTTGTAGTTTTATATTTCTTCTGCTGCGAGACGCATTTGCAGCGGCCGTTTATGTTACGTGTGCCATACCCCAACACGACGAGGACCTTCAAACATGGTCAACCGGGAGCACCTGTCCTGTTCTCAAGGTCCCATGTCGCTCGTATCGCCCCAGGCGAAGCGGTTAATCATCCCGCGTCCCTGCTCCCGATCCTGCCGTTACTTTTCTGCACTGGTGGCGCAGATACAAGGCGAAAACCCGGTCCGTTCTGACTGAGCCCACGGACAAATGAGGGGGTTGTTGATGGATATGCTCAAGTCATGTTTGAGAGGCGTTTGATTTTTGGTGCCCACTTTCTGCTGTTTTTTCAGCGGGTCGAATGTAATGAGGCTTGGTGGGTGCAAAAGCAGTCAACTTCGAATTATGTCGCCGTGTTTTTGGGGTCAGTAGTCGCGTGGCTTTCCTGTCGTTGGATGGTTAAGGCATACGGCTTACGTTTCATGTACACAGGCGGGTTGGGATGGCATGGAACATTCATTGACGCCCTCGAGACGCCAAAAACTCCACCGCCAGAAAGGGAGCAGCGGATAGGGTACAGAGAGCATTGTAGATTTTCAAAAGCGGCGTGCCGAGTGACAAATATTAAATGTGTACATACACAGATTATTTATGGAGTTAGTCATTAGCGAGCCCCGTAGAGTGCCGAGGTGGAGCTAGCTGCGGTGTGTGAACAGGATGATGCCAGTTTGGCGAAATAGGACATGGCCAACGAAAAGCGCGATCAGCGCGTGCGAAGGGTGTCGTTGTTGAATGGAAAGTAAAAGGTGTCGTGGTGGAAAACCCGGGAGGCCCCTAGTGAGCCAGTGTCTTATATCCCTATGTTGGTTTGTTTGTTGTGTTGATACAACACTGTTTTCTGTATTCAAGGGGAGGCTGTGTTCCAGAGGAGCGTGGGCTGTGGTGCTGTACTTGAGAAGAATGGCCAAGGGTGGTATGGTGATGGAGGCTTCCGCAGGGGCTCGAGAATAGGGGGCGGTTGTGAATCGATGGATTGGCGGGAATAGCGAAACGCGGATGAGAATGATGTAAACCATTGCTGTGTGTGCTGTGGTGCGATCGGGCGGTTGTTGGGTGTATTTCGGGTGGAGGAGATATACAAGTATTGTAGGCATCGGAGAGATTGTCGAAAGGAACGGAGTGTGTGCGATGTGAAGACTGTGACGTGCACATGTACTTTGTCTAGACTGGTTGGGATAGATGCAAGTCAAATGAAGACCCCGACAAGGTGGTGTCTATTTGAAAAATACATGTTGTGGGAGAAAAAAGTATCGAAAACCTTCTTTGTCAGCCCTGGGAAGAAGGTGACTGCTCTTGTTCATTCATCTTGCGAAGCACACAAACCCGATTTTGTTCGTGTATTTTGCATGGGAGGATGTGCTGCACATCAACAATGCGATAGTGCCGCAACACTGCGAATCGTCGCACACACACACCACTGAGTTGAAAGCTCGATTACTCCACATCCGCGGGGCTACAATAAACCGGGCAGCAGCTACATCTATACCGCTTTCGACAATATCTTTCTAAAACCACCATCTCCATGATATGGGCACCCGGTTGAATGTGCAGCACGCGAGCTATGAAAGTTATAGTTGCTCCTATGGTGTGAGATGACCCACAGCAGTGCGTACATGTACTGTAGTCTTACGGCACACTCTTCTTTTTTGGTTTGATATAATTATTAACGGCAGTGCTCACCGTCCACGAAGTCATTCGTGTCACCAAGGATATGAGGACCTTGGACGTCTGTATCATGAAACACGGGAGCCGTAGTCTTTGTGTTTTTCTACATGTACTCTAGCGTTGTAGGTCCGTGCTTGTGTGTTCAACCTTGTACCTTTAGTTCTTTGTCCAAGTTTGCGATCTATCGATTTGCTCGCAGCGTGGGTCCCGAACAACATGGACTAAGTGATCAGACCACAAAGTATGGCCACGTGCCACGTGCGCGCCCCAAATGCGGCGAAAATTGAAATGGCGGCGTAACTTCGACCGGTTCGCATTAAAAAAAAATAATGCTCAGTTGTATCGCGATGTCGTCACCTATTGCTGTAGCTGGTGTGTCCCAATCCAGTACGTCATTGCATGGTTTCTTCTTGCGACGCTCAGGCTTTGCTGCATGTAAGTAGAGCTTCGCTGAGTAGAATCTCTCGGCAAACCTTGAGGTCCTGGGAATCCCTCGTCAGATCTGCCTTCGTGATGATGTGTGGAAGAGCTGGGGCCACACTAAGCCCCCCTCGAGGCTAGACCAGTCCATCGCCATGCTGCATGCAGCGAGGTTTATTAACGAACAGTCTGTCGTTCCGAGGGTTAGGAGACGATGCGAGTCGACGGGGCGTGGTTGCGATAGTTGAAGAGGTTGGATTGTTGATATCACAGCAGTACATGGTCTACAGCAGTACGTCGAAACAACGTAGAGTACGACGTAGAATAGGTGAATTACGAGAAGCGCCATGTAGACGTGAAACTCTTCTGGACCCCCTGTAGAGTCATCATGAATGGTTAAGACTACGTCAAGGAGTTTGAAACAGAGGGAGCTTGCCTTCGGACGACATAATGCAGTTAATAGCGACTTCAACCTTGCTTGGGGAATAGCTCAATATGTCGCCGCCGGTAGTCTAGTGCTTACGAGTGAGATATTCGACGGAGGTCGATACACTGTAGCACGACAACAGCCCCTGTGTCTAAGTCACCATTAGCACCACCTTCGCAAGGTCTGGTCTGCTGCATGCTTCTCATAAATTTTGGATCGGACCATATGCAATTTTTCGCATTTTCTCCTGCCTGCTCTCTTGATGGGTGCAGGCTGGAGACGGGCAAGAAGTCTAGTTGCAATGGCGGATCTCAAACTCGACAACGAATTCGGTTCGGAGCTTGCTGGCGCAGGATCCCGCCCAGCTTTCGCCCACCTCGTGCGGTTCCGGCCCAAGGACATCACGCAAAAAGAGTTCCCGACCACGCTCACCTTGACGTAAGTGGCCTCCATGTGCTGATAACAGCGCATGTGTAGATATAGTCTAGTCTATACATATGTGCTACCTCGCAGCCCGCCACGCCCTGACTGTATCTATCTCCCGCCAAGCGGGTAACTTAAGGGGGTGCAGAAAAGGGGTAGTGACGCTGGCTCTTTTCCCCATACTTTAATCCTATACAAAGAAAGAAAACAACCTTCCCACAAGGGTTAGGTGTCGGATTCTATTGTCATCAGTAGAGGACACCATGAAGAGGCGTCGTGCGTGCTGGCACGTTCAAGTTTGCTACTGGAGCCGAAATATCGAAGGTCGCAGCAACTTCTGAAAACAGTCCGAAATCTGCGGCGGAGCCAAGCGGCATCCAACATTTGTCACAGCCGCGATCACCACCACGGACCGTAAACCCTTGAACCACGGGTCGTCAGCAGTAGCTAGTGGCATCAGCTACTGCTGTAAACCCGCAGTTCAGGAGATTGGGGTCAGTGGCGGCGAGCACGGCTGTGACAAATGTTGGATGCCGCTTGGTTCCGGCGCAGATTTCGGACTGTTTTCAGAGGCTTCTGCGACCTGCGATATTTCAGCTCCAGTAGCAAACCTGCACGTGTCAGCACACACGACGCATCTTCATTATGTCCACTACTGATGACAATAGAATGCGACACCTAACCCTCAAAATTGACCTTGTTTGAGCGCCTTCCGTTTTGGCTCTTTTGACTAGAGTTTAGAATGGTGCGATTTTTTATCTTGATTTCAAAGGAGGCGTGTGGAGGTAGACGCGTGAAATATATGTTTTGAGCAGCCTCTACTGCCGCCCTGTGCGAGGGTCAACGATTGCTGTTTTTCGCGGTGCCTTCCTAATGGTCTGGTGTGTCTGATGTGCAATTTCTGGTGCTCTTGCGTTTGATTTCAAAATAAGTCAACATCAAAATTCGTCTTCTGCACCTCCTTCAAGTAAGTTGGCACCTACGTTTGAATTGTTACTGGTGAACACGGCCGTATTCGAAAAGCAGAAACTCCTTGCTATGAATGCTTTAGGTATCGTCTTGTATTTCCGTCTCATTTGTTGTGGCCGCCAGTCCAGACTACATCTTTCGGTATGGTTCGTTTGACGCACTATGTAGCAGGGGTCACACAAGAAGAAGTTACCATGTTTCCCCTTTGGTATGTGCCTTCCAATTTGTTAGTAAAACTATAAATTCCGTGATTATTTGCCACCTGTTGCTCCCCATACAAGCTTCGATGACTCGTTGATCCCTTCCCTTACTCACACAACGGTCTGTTTTTGACTGTTTAATTGCTTGCGTATGATTCGCCACAGAAACGTGAGCATCCAAGTGGGAGCGGCGCCTGTCAGTCCGAACCCTAATGACAAGGGCGAGCCGCCTGTTACCGAAGATACGCCTTTTAAGTGCATGTTTCGCATCGCGAATGAGTCTTTCACCACGGATAGGTACGACGTTACTCCACACAACATGTCACTGGTTGTTCGCCGCACTGGCATGCAGAGCTACTAGAAGCATCGACACGACGGAGCTGGTTTCTCTTGGACTTTGTGCTTGTCATCATCGTTGGTTGATATTTTCAACTATCAATATCAATATTTTACGTCTCACGTGTGTAAGGGTTGTAGTACTCCAGGAACTGCATCTGTATTGTTGCTCTGTTTTCGTCATTATTGTGTTAGTTTCGACACCAACGTATCCACGCATCTGGACAGATTCGAACGTTTTGTACATTGAAAATACGAACGGCGTGTTAAAGAAGGTGTGCAAAACATGCTTTCGTTGAAGGCAGCACTGAATGAAGACAGCACAACGCAACTGCTGTGGACGAGCTGGTGCTGACGATGAGCGTGTGCTATTTCTGCGCAATAGTAGGAACAGCCATGTCCCTCGTCCCATGGGAAGAGGACACACTTGCCTAGTGTAGTCGGAAGATCTCCGTGATTGTTAACCCTGACCAGCCCTTTCTTCTTTCCCTCCGCCCCGCCCCCTCGGCGTTCGACCATGACCCATACCAAACCTAGCTTCATTCCTGGGCAGGAGGACTGGCAAGGGTCGGGCTGTGTACGGTTTATGCTTGCGTCCAGTGTTATCTTGCTCGTGCGGGTGCTTGTGGCGGACTCCACCGGCAAACCGTACGGGTACGCTCGGCTTCGGCTCGGTCGGGTGGGGGAGGGGGAGTTCCAGGTAGCTGGGGAGATCAAGGAGACGGAATACGTGTCGATCCAGGACCAACTGCTAGGGTACATCACGATCAATTTCAAGGTGGGTGGACACTACTAGATTAACCATGGTCGAGGAGGCGATGTCGATGCTACAACTACTAGTATTTGCTCATCCGGGACCACGGCTCGTCCGGGTACGTTGTTACAATCATTTTGATGGGATATCTATGGCGGTGAGATCAGGTAGGGCGCAATTCCCTGTGCTCGACGCCTTCGCCACGTGCATGCACCAACTCTAGTCCCCTGTCGGTGTGATTGCACGGAACACTCTTTCGAATGTCATGTCGACGTGTCTGTACCCCGTTCGTATGTGCCCCCAAGGTTCTCCCTGTTCTACTTGATTCTCCAAAACCAACCACCAGGTACAACACTATCTCGCCCATGAAGGTCGGTTCACGACCCTACAGGGCTATGTACGTTTCTAATAGAGAAAACAATTTTCATCCAAATATGAAACGTTCATTGCCCACACTCCGGTGGGTCTTTGCAGGCCATGCCATGCTTCCCACAAATCCTCGTTCTGTACATGAGATGGAGGTGAAAAATGAGGGTTGGAAGCTCTTCCGACAAGCGTACATGGGATTCATGTCTCAGTCACTCTCGAATCTGGAACGGTTTTCACGAGAACACTCCGTATGCGCGATACCTCACAACCTACCAAGAGCCTGTGGATCGTGTCCGTCTGTCCCCAAACATGCAACGCTTCAGGAATAGCTCGAAAAAACGAACTATTGTGACAAGGCAAACGCTCACACCAAAACACGTACTTTGTGTGACAGGTCACGCCAAACTTTTCCCTAAACTTGGCTAAGCTGGACAACCAGTTCGACACCAAGAATATCCCGTCGCTCATCAGTGTGGTATCGGCAGACTCCAAGACTCTGGGGCATCGTATTGGCGCGTTCCAAGGGGCATTGCAGGTCTTGCAGTCCATCGTACTGGACATGCAGAGGCAGGGAGGGATTGGCGCCATCGCCGGGAAGCAGCTCAGCGTCATCCTCGACCAGGTTTGGTCAAAATTGCTTCGATCCTCCCTCGAATATCTATCTCTTACTGTTTTTTTGCCTTGACGTTCGCCATACATACCCCTCCTGAAGAATCGACCTAGATACGAAAGCGGCGTCGCTGGACTATCGAACGACCAGTCTCAACGAGAGCAAAACACGTATCATTAAAACAAGAGCGTAGTTACCACCAGCTGCGCCGAAACGGCTGGTTGCACCAGCCTCAAGAAGGAAGGCAACAACTTCTTCTGGTAGAGGGCAACCACGCGCATCGAGAAACAAGAGAGCGAACATCAACGACCTGCACAAGCCCACCCACCCGCCCATCCATCCTGCACTCCCCTTGGACATATTTGACTCTCTAACATAATGCAAAAAAAGGCTTCTTCGGCTCAAGGGATTGAGCTGTTCGAAGACCTCTTGTGGGATATGGCCACCCTATCTTTCGTTCCCGAAGTGTTCCAACCGACGCTCACGTTCTTCCCTGGTAACGGCAATGGTGAGGATACCAACACAACCCGGGAGGAGATTGGGGAGGGGGTTCGCAACACGACAGAGGCGACCAAGGCGAGCGTATGCGCACAACTGGTGAGTGGAGATGCAGAACCTATTGTGCGCCAGAGACACACTCAAGTACAACTTTCGGTTGCTCCTGGTGGACCTGTGTTATTGCATGAGGTGCGGGCACGCACCTTTGGAAGCGGCGTTAGCATTGCGGTGAATGTCGTATGCGGAGAATGCACAACGGATGTTGTCAAGGGGGAGTAGCATGAAGATGCCTTTTGGGACTACCACAGGGACTCCGATCCGCCTGGAAGGCCCGGAACAGCGTAGAGAAATATAGCCCACTAAGAATCATCGTTCAGGGAACCAATTGCCACAACATTACGTTTTTCACCCGTTGCTTAGGCAGATTTTTCGCTCCTCCTCTCGCCAGGCGGTGTACCCGCACCTTGGCCTGTCCATATAAACGATCTACAATCTACTACTACGTCCACAGTATGATCGGGCAATGGCGCCGCGTGTTTGCACCTCACTGCTAACCATCAATACCTGCGTGTCCCTAGGCTCGCTATCCGCGAAGCTTCGCGTTGGTACGAGATGGAGAAGAACCCGTCATCTTGGTCGCAGACACGGACTCAGATTACCATAGGTAAGCTGGACTTCCGCTGCTTTTCCCCATCAGTTTATAAATGTATGATCCTTCCTTCGTTCCTGCAACTAGAGCGAAGGTGCGGGCACCCAAGCAGAATCAAGTGAAACCGAAGGCGTAGCAGGCAGATCGGGCTCGAGCGAAAACAACGTAATATTCAGCAAAAAAGTTGTCGCTAGCTAGATTAGTTCGTTCTACCAGTGCTTTCTCTCCACCGCATGGAACTGTTTCCCCGCATAGAAGAGACGATCCAGGATCACGCCGGAGTTTGAGCTCCCGGTTTTGACAATCTAAAGGTTCCGATGACACCTTTGGCCCACCTTCTCGTCCAAATAGTTGATGCTAGAAGCACAAACAAAGCGGCGTCTATCGTTTGTTTTTCTTCTTACACTGTTCGGCGGTTGAAGCTCGGCGGCTGCATACGAGGTATCCGATGGGCTCCGCCAACAAGTGGCCGAATATTTCATAGCAAAGGCTTTCTATACAAATTTATATGTAGTTAAACCCCCTGAAACGTTAGTTCTATCGTTGCCGTTGCTTCGCCTCTTTCCACTGGCTGATGCTCGTGCGTCTCTTGCTTGGGTCAGGTGGACGGTGGTGTTGCGGATAGCTTGCCAGGCAAACTCGGAGGTGGACGTAGAAAAAGCGAAGAAGGTGAAGCGAGAAAAGAACGCGGGGACGTGTGAAGAAAAAATAAATAAAAACAGACGTAAAAGAGTGAGCAGTTAGAGCAAATAAACATTGAACAGCTATGAACAGGTAGGTAGCAAGGTGAAAATCCAACATCAACGAGCTCACTAGGAGTGAAGGTGAATGAGGTTGATGAGTCGACAATCAACTTCAATCAAGACGAGCATGAGCAATGAACAGTACAATTCGCCCAGTGTGTCGCGATGAGCATGGATTCTTTGTTGGCCCTTGTATATTTTATGTCACCGTGGGCTCTTTCTTCGAGATATGTACTTTGTTTGATGTTCAACAGCGAAGCCAATGATCTGCCTTGAATCACCTGCTTTCTGTCTCACTCGTCACCACAGCTCGTAATACCGGAGTATTGCAAGGACCCCGTCCACCCCGACCACCCAACGGCCGGTTGGCTTCGTAGAAAGAAGCGCGATAAGCGGGCGTTGACTAGCTCATTCGTCAACCGTTTCTTCAGGCTCGAATACGATGCGTACATCATGCGATACACCTTCTCGTACGGTGAGCGCAATGGCCGAGGCAGAGAACCATGAATCGATTCCAACACGGTTGCCTGTTTCTCGCGTAGTATTGGTGGATAGCTTCAATTTTGGGACAAAGTCCTTCCACTTTGGACAAGCAACGAGTGAATCCGTGCACATAGGACCGCGTTGGTACTGAAGCAGGGCAGGGGGCGGAACAGAGCGCTGGTTGAGGTTGCGGACACGGTTGTCCTTTAACAAGAAAACAGAAGCAACGTCTTTCTATTTTCGAAACAAACAAGCGGGCAACCACGTACATATAGCTAGTTTGCAATTTGAACCGATTTGAGGCTGTTCTACTTGTGCTGTGGCGATCGCTTCTTTTATGCATAAATTGGTTGTGTAGGGAAAGATCCCTCCGACGACGCTACCCAGATGACCAAGGTTGGACTAGACGATGGCACGAGCGTGCTGCTCCCAAGCGTGCCACCAGTTCCTACTCCGTTCGCCCTTCAGGTACGGAATACATGATTCCTTCACTACTGAGTTACCTGTCGCTACGTCCATAAGTGTGAGAAGGTAGCAAAGTGTTCCTTCTGAACACAGAACGTTTGTCGTCCCATCTAATGTGGCATGGTCTGGAGCTGACCCAGGCATGATTCTATCACAGATGTGCAACCAACGACTCATTTATACGTTCGAGGTATGGGTTAAGTTTCACGGCTGATTTATGTACGAGGTTGGTGGCAACTTGCTGAACATGTCGACATTGCGGTGTTGAACGTTTCAGGAAGTAGATGATACACCGATATACCCCATCAAGGTAGTCGACCCTGCATTGTTTGCGATGTCCCCGAGCACTTTCCCTCATTGTGTGCATGTTTCAACCTCCATCTTTTAAACTCGAACAGACTCAGAGGAACATGTAATTACCTGTGAACCAAATCGCTGCTCAGCATATGTTCCACTTCTCTCATTCAAAGCATGAGGGTGCCATTGGCAGGAACTAACCCCCGACCAATGTGTCTATTAATAGCAGCATATGCAAGATCTTGCATTTCGTTCGTGCCTCGTCGTGCGTTTGTCATGGAACGTAACAGATCGTTGTTCAGCAAGTGAGCGACTTTTCTTTTTCTGAGCACGATTCGCTGAGGGTGGTGGCGCAGCTCGGCTCTCTCCGGCAATGCACTCGCGCTTTTTGCCCCAAGGAGTCCACGTCCATCAAATCCAACTTGCTGCTACCAGTCGAGCAGGTAGGTGCCATTCACTCGACTCGACTCCGCAGTATTCCCAAAGGCAAAGTCCGGAAACAAACTCCATACCATCAGCCTAGCTTCCTTCATGTTGATTTCTCGCAACAGAGTCTTCCGCTAACATCCGCTGCATGAACGGTTTCCTGTCATCATACGGTCTGTTGCACACGCATCCCATGTTAATGTTTCTGCCGAGACTGAAAGTGACGCTTTCGCCGAACAATGTTAACGTTTCAACCAAACCAGCAATGCCTGGCGTACGGCAACACGAGTGTCTCCACTGGAAACGTGGGTTGGTTCGGCGAGGACGTGACCCTACCCGAGAAGCAGGAAGGAGGAGATAAAAAATTCGAGCTACTCAGGTGACGAAAACAAACCACTTTCTCTCAGTGGAGAGTTCGCATGTTACTCTTTTTTTTCGGTAAGCAATGTAGAAGAAACAAAGAATATGGCATCTTGATGTTCAAGCGTCGAAAGTCCGAACACAAGCACCGAAGTGCTTACCGCCCGAAAAACGGAAACTTAACCCCTTTGGGTCTAGGCTGGACTGTCAGATTTTTTTTTTTGCGCCAAATAAAAAAAATGAGAGCGAGAGCGAGCGGGAGAGAGAGAAGTGCAGAGAAAGACACCAGTGTACTTCTGCACACGCAACAGCTATCTCCCCCTGTAGGCCATGAAAGAAGCCGGCGACAGGGTGGTGGCCACAGACAGGGTCGTAGAAGGGTTGGTGGGTGGTCGCGCTGCGGTCAGTAGGGCAGGTTAGCTGTGTAGCCTTTGAAATGATCAGTCGTCTAGCTGCCTCAACTAGTCTATTTTCGGTATATTGTAAATGATCAGTCCAGAGAGGGCAAAATGATCAGTGAAGACCCATAGCTGGTATTTGTACTTCTGTACTTCTCTGTTCTCTGTCCCCCCCCGAAATGTGCCCTGCCAACTCTCTAGAGCTCCTGTGTTTTTCAAACAACAAGCACATCCACCAGCACACACCTGTACCTCGTGGTTTCCTAGGTTCGGGCGAGGGTGGTATGTGTGGCGCTACGAGTGTGGATGTGTTGCCGATATGTTTTACTCGTCTACAGCAGTAGTAGTGTTGTTGTAGCGTTCGTTGTAGCTGTTGACACAATGACTGCTGGATCTTCGGAACGATTTTCAAATTGTTGGGAACCACGATATCCTCGATATCTGGGCTTCGGCAGGGACTGCAATACCCCTCCCTTTTGCTGTCCTCTGCTCTTTGCAGCAGTGGCTTCCTACGTTCGGGCGAGTGTATGTGTGGTGCTGCGAAAGAACACATATGTGTGTATGTATGTACTGTAGGCACACACGCGTTCATTGACATGTGCATACATACGTTGAGAGATTCATGATTTGGCATTGATTGGCCCATTCCCATTCCCGAGACCTTGACATTACCCGCTGTCACTGAAGTCTCTTCATTGGTCAGCCGGTTAGCGCGGGTGCTAATAATCTAGACACACCTACCTATGGACTTGCCAATACACGGCGCGAAGGGCTGCAGGGCGGCAACTCCACGACTTGCCACTACACCAGCATTTGCAAATGATCAATCAATGATCAGTGAGAACGCCTGAAGACTCAAAAGGGTTAACCGTTGAGGAGGGTTGGAAGTCGTTCGTATTCGAGCGCGGGCACGGCAGATTTGTGGACAAACCGGGTGTCGACCTTCGCGTTACGTTAGGTTCGGTCATGAGAGAGAGCCGGGGACACTCGCCTCGACCAACTTAAGCATGATTCCAAGCTTGAACATTGGTGACGTTCATGGTAGAATACTGGTTTATTTTGAGAGTGCGTCCCAAGCCGCTACATGGGATTATAGCGCGGAACGCCAAGGCGTGAAGGACGCGAGTTTCCCAGAGCTGACTCCCACAGGTATTTGAACAAGATTGATCTTGTAGAAAAAACTCGAGGTAAGCTCAGGCGGGCGTATTACACCGTTAAACGCGCCATACTCGTCCTGAACGCCCATTGTAGACTCTCTCAAGACGTGTTCGATATTGTTTTAACCTCGATACCCTCAGCCGCGTGTAGTAGTTGTGGACAAGGTTTGATGTGACCGCTCCGATCCCATCGCCTGCCTTGTTTTCTGGATTCAGATTCTTCATTGGGGAAGGGCAGGGGGCAAACGCCAAGACGGCAGTAGCCACTTGCAGCGTGCCTTTCGCTGACCTGCAGTTCGGTCGACAACAGGTGAAGAGTCTTCATCCCTGACAATATATCCGAATGTTGAAGAATCCATCCCGCAGTGTTGAGGAATCTATCCCGCGCTAATTTGTGTAAGACATGGATGGGGGTCTAACGAATCAAGGCACCGCCTGTGTACCAAAGCTACAGAGTCAAAGCAGACTGCAGCGTTGCGCTCAACTCAAAAACGTTACGATCCTCCTATGAAGAGCCTACAGGTTCTTGCTGATCGTGTGCTGGCATGCCGCCTTTATTGCGTACGGTGTTCACATGAAACCAATGGACGGGGAGACTCCAACTTTCAGACGTTCTCGCCCCTTTGCTTGGAGTTGAAACAACATAAACGATGCCTCAGCCAATCGCATTGAGCGGCTAGGCCAAGATGATGCCCCCAATGGTCCTGACCGTTTCGGTCCTCATTTTTCTTTCTCGGCACACGAAAGGATATGAATCTTTCTCTGAACGGTCCGGAGGTAGAAGACGCGGAGGAGTTGACGGTCGGCATCACCATGCGTCGACTTGGGCAGTACAAGACCGCTTGGCCCGCCACGATGACCGCTCTTCTGCAAGCGGGAAGCACGACCTCCACCGATCAGGTGTGTGCGGGAAAACCAACTCCAGATCGCGTGAAACAAGCGAACGTCCGAACTTGAGAAGCCCTTTCTTAGTGTTTCGTGGGAAGTACAGGTACACAAGAAGAGGGGGGCTGGATATCGCACGTAGCGTCCATGGACCAGAAGTGGTCACACCCGCACATGGGGGGATAGTATCTTGCGTTGGAACATATTTTCGTTTCACCGAAAGGCAAACACACGGCAATGAGATATTGGACTCGATCCGATTCCTCCAGCCTGACACAGATGGTTCTCCCTGCACTTGTTCGCAGGTAAGGACGGCCCCGACCGATCAACTACATTTTCATAGGTGTACATCCGAGGTACAGGATGTTCCTGATTTTCTCTCTAGACCTGACCAATCGAGTTCACTGCCACCGAAAAAAAAAATGGCCTCCGGCTTCCGTGAAAAATAAAATAAAAAACGACGTCCTGTCTAACACACTATTCAGACGATGTGGGAAGGACCTTGCATGGTGAGAACAGCCCCGCAAGGCCTGGAGGTTTTCCGGCCGATGGCCAACCCAGAGGAGCCTACCAAAGCCATCATGACCATCGACTACTACTCCGTCGAGGTGAGCTTCGTTTTGAACTTTACCAATAACGTCTGAAAAACGTGTGCAGGTGGTTGCCCATATCGGTACGGAATTCAGATGTGCATCAAGGTATCTTGACGCACACTTAACCCAAATTCAGCGGCAAAAAAGATTTTCTCGCGGACCCAAAGTCGGGTTGCGCTCAGGTGGTCCCTGGTGCGCAGGAGTTGCATCTGTTACGAGTTTTCATCATAAAATGGTATTGCTTCAGCATAGGGTGTTCTTGGGACGGCGGTTGCACATCATTTTCATGAACCGACTGCCAAGGTCATCATTTGAAGCAACGTTGACGTTCCATTCAACAAAACCCCGGGGTGGAGTACCCAAGATCGAAGTGTGAACCCGCAGTTTCCAAAATAGACCATCATGCCAGCTCTGACGCAGAAGAGTTCACCTGGGTTTGTACGCCATTATTTCCAGTGTAGGCTGTCATTCGCCGTCGAACACTTTCTAGGTTAACCGCATGACGTGCTGCATACATTGCCAACGGAACAACAAAAGACGGGGTAACATATTTCGAACGATCTATTAGCAACCTTTTTGTACATGCGATGGAGAGCAATGCAAGGGTCAGTTCAAATAGGAACACGAAGTGTATATTACGCTCTCCCCACCCACAAGTGTTGGAAGCGTTGTTGATTGTCAAGATCGCTGGCATGGATAGCATGACACGTTACAACCTGGACACGACGAAACACTCTCAACACAGGCGATGACGGACGTGAACGCGTCTACCCTCGACATCGCAGTTATAATCGAAGACGAGTCTAGCGCGTTCAGCACGCAAGGCAGCGCCAGAAAACCTCCAAAACCTCCCGGTTCTCCGGGAACTCCGTCGACACTACCGCCTCCGTCCCCCCTATCCGGCCCAACTCCGGGCAGCAGTCCGATCCCTGGCACTCCTGGTGAGACTTATCGTTATCGAGAGGAGTATAAATCACGGCTGAGTAGCCCTTACATGTTTCGAAGCCTCCCCTGGTTTAGAGGATCTATGTTCCTAATCGATTTCGAAATATGGCATCACGAGGGCGAGGTGAAAACATCAGAGATACTCTTAAGCTAGCTTTCGCGTTTTTTTCAAAAGAATACCCGCGAAGTTCGGGGTTTGCTAATACGGAGCGACAATGGAGAACCCGTTGCACACCCGATGTACGGACCAGAGCCTGATTCCCATCATGTGAGTAGTTGGTTGTTTCGTGGTTCCCGGGCTGACCGGTGAGAAAGTCACCCAGCGTGTCAGAATAAGTGCATCGATTCGTATCTTGGGCGCTTGTGGTGTCTTGGCTCTCGTGTGTGGGGCGTTGTTGATCCCGTGATATAAGCTGACTTTAAACATTTCGACTCCCTCATTTCTCCTGTTGGGAACCATGGTATTGGCATACCGCTAGATGTCACGACGATAGAGATAGGCGCCCGCAAGGAACGTTGGTCTCCACAGGCAATGTGGGACGTAACCAGTGCGCTTTTTCGAAGGCTTGCCGTGCCGCAACAACTTTCTGGATGCGAAATCGTGAGAGTTGCACCGGAGCCGCAACAGCAGCAACAACAACCTACATTCGTGACTGACCGTCAGTGAATGTCGTTGTCATACATAGTGTATCTGGGCTGCAATGCCTGATCTGTTGGCAGTCACTTGACGGTCTCTTCTTCTCGTACTGATTGCGCCCAACAACGTTTAGGTGTGAGTCCGGGGGCTTTTAGCAGGTCTGGGGTGTTCGGCCTCGATTCACCTGCACCCACAAGACCCAACCTTGACCGCCGCGGCAGCTTTGGGATGGTGAGTTCAGCTTTGTCGACCTGAATGACATTCATAGCAAGGAAATAAAGTTTTGTGGGCATTCTTGCGTTTATGTGTTAATTTGTGATCGTATTGTGGGTTGAGGAAGACCACCTTGCGTACATGTTCGAGAAGGATTGTTTGGGGAAGCGATGTGATGCGGCCAACACTCCTTGTTATTTCGATGTCTCGCAAATCCAACTGTCTCCGATGTACCTACAGCAACGGAGCAGCGACAACACCCGTTCACTGAGAAAAACGTGCATGGTTCTGTCTTGGAACCGACAGCAAAGCCAATGGTATCCTACAGGCATCAACGCATGTTGCTCCCACCGCTCGGCACTCACTCGAATTTCCCGACACGGACTGGCCTGGTTCGTTTTCGATCAATGCAGGTAACACGAAAGGGCAAGAGCGTCTCACCCAGTAAGTCTCCCATCAAGGACACGCGCTTTAGGTCGACCAACGGACGGGGGGACTCCGCCGCCCCGAAGAAAGTGACGGTGCCTCACGACTACTTCATCCTGCGCATTTCTCCCTGCCCGGCGGAAACTCTCAAGGATCTGGTCAGTGAGAGGAGGTGGATGTTCAAGTGCAGGAACATGCTCCTGTACATCACCAACAGGCTGCACCAGCTGAGGCAGGTGCGTGACTCAATAAAGAACGCCCGGGAACAAAGCCGAGTTGTTTGAGCGTTGGAAGTGAAGGTGAATTATTGCACGTAGATATGCATCAATCTTAGTCCAGAATCGTACCCTTTCGTGGGCACCACCAGGCATTTTGCGCTACCTGAGGTACTCCGTGTTCAACATCATTATTTCGGTTTATTTCTGTGCTGAGTCGCGTATTGAGTTCAGGTCTTCCGGCTACACTTTATAGTGATGCGAAGCTCGAACATTGCTTGCTACTTTGTGGTCATAGTCGTTTCTTTCACCAGCCATCGAATTCGGTTCTATGACAACTATTGAAACCTAAAAAACAATATGTTGGCAGGAAGAGGAAACGCACGGGGAAGGTGGACCGTTGGCATCCGACCGCGGTTTGCGCGAAAAGCTGGCGATCGCGTCCGCCGAAACCTACAAGATGCTGCGAGCGGACATGAGCGAGATCATTAAGACCTCAGACTGGAAGCGTGCGAGGGGAGTGGGCTTTACAGAGGTATAGGCTGCTGCTGATGAACAATGCAAAGCGGACAAACAATCTTTTTCGGCCGCCAATTTGTAGCTTTGATCGACTTGGGAACACCATTCTTTCTCTGTATCGATGCCTGGCTGCAAGCATACGAGGTGGGCCAATTTCACGAGGGAGTGGGTACGTGCTGCGGTGACAGCTCAATGCCTGAGAGGAGTTCAATTGGAGTGAATCTCCGTAGACTCTTGTCCAAGGACATCCGAAGACACCTAACGAGGTTCTCTCGGGTCGCCCTCTCTGTGTGCCCTAACGCCGTGCTTGTGTTACAGAAACAAATCCGGATGTTTTTCCGGTTGCAGCGGATGTCGGTGTACTTTGCAAAGCTGCTTGAGTCCAAGGCTCACCCGCTCTGGGGCTTGGACAATCCTATCGATCCAACGGGCTTCGCCAGACAGGTGCTGCTACTTTAGCCAACATGCTTGAAGGACGACGATGCTTGCCCTTGCTATGTAGTAGGAGACAGGAGTGGTTATGATGTGATGACATAACAGCAACATCTTTGACGGTGCGAGTGTCGACAGATAAAATAGTAGGATGCTCATGCTTCCCTAAAACATAACCTTCTTGGAGCGCATTGAGTATACATATCCGTTATTGGTGGTTTGTTGCCTTATTCGGTAGGACGCAACTGTTTAATGAGTATTGCTTCGGAAGCACCCCCAAACACCCGTAGGGAATGTCGGGAATCCAAACGTCTCGAAGGAGCGAACAGGTACCATGATAAACAACGGGAATGATTCTCCTGCGGCAGATGTGACACTCACAGCACAATAATCGTTAGCAAAGACTCATGAGATGAAGGACATTGAAACGTCCGGACGTTTGATCATCAGGACTTGGACAGGGTCTTTTCGAGCCAATACGTGCAATCTGGAACGTTCGGGGCGGAGGCGCAAGGCATCGAGAACAGTGTCAAGGGGGTTGGCTGGGTGAGTTTCTTGCACATTGCTGACATTGCAGACATGACCAGAAGCTAAAGCAGAAACGATTCCGGTTGGAGAAGAGCCTTTCAAGACGTTAAGTCATCCCTCAAAAGTGAGCGGTGCTGTGGTAACAAAAACTTCTACATCTTGCCCCAAATGTGCCTGTTCGCTTCTATATACGGTACTCTCTTGCCCCTCACGCAATAGTGAAGTACAGGGAACATTGCATGTTTGACTTCTATATTTTCCTCATGTAACATTTGTGAGCAGGCGTTGAAGAGCTTGAACCGCCGGTTTGACGAGACCAAGCTATTCTACAACAACTCTCCAGAAGACATTGTGAAAACAAGCCGCATATTCTTCCAGGTACATGAAATGGCAGTCGTCCTTGGACTCTGGCCCACGTTGATCATCTGTAGGAGTTTGGGTTGAATGAAGCCCCATACGCCTTGGCGTAGAGTCCTCGCCCTGAGCGTTTTACCTCATTGAGACAAAAGGGCCGGGAGAGCGGCGACATGTTCTGGAAAGATCCATGTACAGGGAAACCCCAAATACAGGAAAATAACTCCTTGTTGGGCGCCATGCAGATGCTCGCAACATCGATGGCATCGATGCGGGAATGTATCTCTCGTCTCAATGCTCCGGGGGACGAGGGCATATGGCACGATCGAATCGAGCGGGGCGAACTTGGTGCCGTCTCCGTGCCAGATCTGTTTTCATCTGATTGACTCCCGGTACTGCTATGAATATTGCTGCTCATCTGCCGTTATTGGTACCAACGGTGCTATCCAATCGATGGCATGCCCATGGCACTCTGCGGTTACCGGTTCAAGCATTTAAGCGAAACTATCTTGTTTCCTACCAAAACAATACACATTCGCGAACACGCCAGGAGTACTTTTTGAGGTGCACCGGAGAGCTAGGCGCCCACGTCATTTCCGACAATATCCTGAAGGAGGTGCCAATAGAGGTGGTGGTGGCGTTCGTCTGCTTCTTGGTCAAGAGGGACAACGCCTTCCATGACCTCTTGGTCGACAACTATCTCGAGCCCGACACCAACGCCTTCTTGACCTCCATTCTGTGAGCGAAGTTCGTTCATGTATCGGCACGCGGTTGACCATGAAAACAAAGCTCCAACCACGATGTTGGAAAGTCCAATGGCCTCATATGACAATATTATGAGTGGGACTCATCATGAAATTCGATCACCTCACGACACGTTTGGGCATCACACCTCTTAAGTACTGACTTCAACTCTCTGGTTGCAGGACACCTATACGCACTGGTTATGCGGTTTGTGCTAGTAAATGCTACCGTTTTCCATGCAGTCGGTGTTGCGTGCCCTTACAAAGCTTGATCCGCAAGAAGAAAGTGGCATACATGTGTTCTCTCATATGGGTTGTGGCACTACCCTAGGTTTCTTGGCTGGGCACGTGAAGTTGAATGGAGTCAAGAAGAACAGGTGCCGAAGACATACTTTTGCTGCTGCCCTTCTAGTTCTGAGTGGCATGACAGATGGCAAAATGTCCGCACGAGCTTGGTTTGCGTACATCAACGTATGGTAGCCTCAATGTCTCAGTCATTACTGATGAAGAGAGCTAAACAAACGTCACGCAGAAAATCATCCGTTTAGGGCCACACGCTGTCCGTTACTTTCTCATTTATGCAGATCAATCGACTCCATGATTCGGAGACTGACGAAGCGCACGGAGCTCGAGATCGTGGCCCAGTGGCCCAACGAGGGAGATATCTCTGAAGACGCCACGCCGGCCTACCTGACCTCTCTGCTGGAGGACTGCTCCCCGGACGCGGAAAACGATGGAAAGCTGTCGACCCGGGCGCCCGAAGAGCTCATGAAACTTTTGGCGAGTCGCTTTAGTTCGTTTTTGATGTCCCGGTGCCAGGAACATACACTGTACAGTCATTTTCGAACGCCTCTCATTATGAGAACGCCCCCCCCCCCTCCCCGTACCCCAAATACTGCCGGTAAAGCTCGAAACCCCCGAGAACTCCCGAGGGTATTCGTGTTTATTGCTGTTTCCGATGTTCTGTTCTCCTGTTCTGAATCGGCCCCGGGATACAACATTTTGCCGTTTTTTCGGCTGCCCCACGAGTCGTTCAATAGAAGATCATGCGCACTCTTGCCGGCACGATTTTGCTGTTGTTGTCATCATTGTTATTGCTGATATCATGGCTTTCAACACGAGAGGTCTGCAGCACCATGTGGGGATCTGTGTCAAGAGTTACCCCGAACAGAAGGAGAGAGGTTGGCATCCCCGAGTATTTACAACCAGACCAAACGTTTTTCTTCCTGTTTTTTCAACAGGAGAAGTACGTTCCGCTGATCTCCAGCCAATGCCGTGCTAGGGGAAACCTGGGGGCCAAAATCTTCGAAGGAATGTTCGCGGCCATGCCGTCGTTTGCGACGACTGCGGCAGCCGCTGTGTTCGCGTTGAACCATGCATCGAGCAAGGACACCACCACTCGCTATTTGGCAGCCTTTCTCAATGACATGACCAGATCGGCCGGCCTGGTGCAGGAGATGATCGACGGCAGCGAAGAGCACCTTCAAGTGAGCGAGAAAACCGTACCGTATTTCGTCACCGAGATTTCCTTGCAAGAATCAATGTCACGACCGACGACAAACACCCCGGGCCAACCACAACTGAGACACAAACAAACACGTTGCACAAAGGTTTCGACTTCACGACAGCCGCAGCTGAGTGACGGCGCGTCGTTCTTGCTTCGGATGCAAGACACACAGTCGAGCACACAGGGTGTGTCTTGACCTCGCAAGAACGACAAACCCTGTGTCTGCATTAACGACCCGTATTTCCTACTCACCACGCACTCTTCCGCCACAACGTTTGCGATCCAAATGTGTACAGGGGATCCCTATCGATGTATCCGCCATCCAAGGCGGTATGTTCAGCGCAGGCGTGGAGGTGGCCTGCCTCCTGGCGGATGTGGCATTGCTGGAAATGGACGCCGTCTGCGCTGAATTCTTCCAGGCCGATTGGTGACTTTGCTTCGGACTCGAACATCTGTTGCTAATACCATAGCCGCTGACATTCGAACTTTTGTTCAAGTTCTGATCTCACAAGAGTAGTACCATGGGTTTTGTTCAGGTATGCTGCACGCTGAGGTTCCGAGACGTGTCGGGGGGCAGTGTGACGACTGCAAGGCTGCTCGTGCAAATCAATATAGTCATTGCGATATGCTGACAATACTGCTCACAAGGTATTCGTTAATGATCGCCTTGCGCCAAGATTTCAGACCAACGGCGTGAGAAGGCTCCGATGCGACTCAACGATTTTTCATTGAACGGCATCGATTATCACTGAAACGTTGTGCCATGATAGTATCGTTGTGAAACGCCCTCGTTCCAGTCACTAAAGTCCAACCCCTACACCCCAAGAATTTTCACCGACTTCAACTACTCCTAAACACGCTTTCCCGACTCTCGACATCAGGTATGCTGACGACGAGAACGCCGTAATGCGCAAGGCGTGCAAACTGCTAAACGTCGGCATCGCCCGCCTTGAGAGCCAGACAGTGAAGGAGCCCTTCTTTGACCACGTCATCGGTGCAGCGACGGAAAAGATCGCCTTCCGATACCTGGCCGGTCTGGTGCATCGGTGCAAAGATCATCAATCCGGCGGAAAGATGATAACGGAAGAGGTATGTCCGGGGCTACTATAGGAGGTCTTAACACGATACATGCGTCAATCTGAACATCCCTCATCAACTCCTGCAAGTAATCAAAGGCTGTTTCCCCGTCGCTCAAAACGGGGTCAGATCTACAGCAGCCCCTTCGATGCCCTTCGCTAGATTTCCTGTGTACTATACAAATTAAGGATCGATGTACCCGTAACCTTATCCCATGTTTTAGTTCTAAGGCCGAAGCGGCAGCTAAACATGGGGAGATTGAGGCGCGATGCTAGACGACGTGCGTCCCCCCCCCCGCGATACAAACATGCCGCGCGTAGTTCCCCGCCGGATCCCATACAGCCATTATGCTCGAAAGCAACATTTTGAAGTTCCCAGCTTCACAATCGTAGGACCAAGAAGTTTGTTCAATGCGAGAGACGTTATCATAAACCAATCACAGGAGCTGGAGCGGATGCAGAACGACGTGGAGATGATGCAGAGCTACGTCGCCAAGTACGGGCAAGTAGGCGTGACGAGCGTCTTGCACTTGAAGGAGGCAATTATTTTCTTGACCGAGAAGCCAGAAATTATCCAGCAGGTCGTCTTCGTCGACATCCTCAAGAGGCACGAGGGGAAGGTGCGCCCAAGTGCCAAGCTACCTTTCCTGGGTCTGTCTTTGGAGATTGTGCACACATTTCTCGTGGTCGATCTCGCGCCTGCTCCGAGAGTTGTTCCTATCATTTAGCGGTGGTTGTAACGGCATTCAGTATCATAGGTCCCATGCACCTGCGCTAGAAGCACCCCCAGTGATAGTCCTCTCTGCAGTATTACAACGGTTGTCACTTCTGGTAGCAACCGAAAGCTGTCAAGCAGGAATGATGTCTGTATTGGCAGCAATGTACCCTCCTGGTTCTGCTGTCGCACACCTTCCACGTGCAGGAGGAACACGTGATGAGCATGCTCAAGACGCTCACGGCCGTCCGGGACGATCTACGCAACTTTTTCGTTCCCGCTTGGCTCAACAAGGTTTGTCACACCTCAGAGGTGTTGATAAAAGCCGTCGTTGAACAAACTTGCGGACCGTGAATAAACTCTGGTGGCGGGGGCAATAATTGTTACTTTAACATCTACTTTTGACAGCTAATCACGGCTTGGGCCAGGAATTGCTTCGCACGTTGTGCGCAGAAAAAAGTGGATAGCGCCAATTCGTTATGTACATCTGACTTGGCGGCCCACGGGGAAAAGGAACGCCTGAACCTTCTCGCGATAGAAGTGAAGGCAAGTGTCGAGAAGCGACGGAAGGAAGAGATAAAACATTCCTGTGTGACCTACGCTGGTGCGTCTAAGCCGTAATATCGACGCCGAGCATGAGCGAGGAAACTGCCCGAATGTTCTTGCCACCGTGACGCTTCGCACATCTGATTGACCTCTGCTTCCGTGGTCAATATCATTCTGCCTTTGTGATCTGTGCTATCTTCACTATAGTTGACGCAAAAGCAGACCGCCGTGGTGCAAGAAAGGCAGATGATGGAGTTGGAGGGGGACGGCCGCGCATCCCGCATCGCGTTCGACGCGTTCGAGTGGGTGTTTCAAAGTGAAGTCACTCAACCTAAGGACGCCTATGTGTACAAGTGAGTTATCTATTAGTCCGTGGTGGTGGACCTTGCTCGCTTGCATTTCGATGGAGCATCAGCTTGTGACAGACGGCATTTTTCTTCGTGTGTTATGATAGGTTCTTTGCAACAGCCTTTCACCGTTCACCAAAACCGTTCACCAAAACCATTGGTGGAGTTACAGTAGCGTAAGGTGCTCAAAGCAAACACTTGTGGAGCAACAACCGATTTCAGCTGCTGCCTTGTTCGAGTTGTCGGTGTGTACAACAAAGACATTGATGAGTCAAGGCGCAAAGATGGATCGTTGACCCCTTTTGGCCAGGCACTGCCGATCTAGGGGTTCTTACTTCACCATCGATTATCTGAGCAGAGGAAGGATCATGTGTACCGTGCGCCATGTCCGACTTCGGTAGTAATTAACCTAGCGTAGCATCTCGAAAAATGATATTGAACATATTGCACCTTCCCCTGGGTGACAGGCAACGCCAGCTATTTGTTGTTTTTCACCGAGCGCAACTGTAGGCGTCTTGGCACGTACATACACATGCGCATGAACGGATAATGGCCGAACAAAGTGAAATCTTGACCCTCTTATTTCCAACGCTGGGTTATTTATTTTCTGGCCCAACCTTTCTCTCCTCTGCGCAGGTACCTCATGCAATGCCTTCAAGCCTCCAGGGTGCAGACAGGAGCACAATGAGCAAGTCAATGTAGGATTTTTTTAAGTCCTCGGCGGAAAAGTTGTTTGCCGAACATAATATAGTCCAACGTAGGAATTAGACTTGGTTGGAAGTTTGTCATTCTTGCATAACCGCTACGCATGACCTTCGCCTTCAACTCTGAAGTGTGATGCTTTCGGGTCTTGACCGGGTCTTGACCGGATCGTGTTCGTCCAATGTCTTCCTTGGAATTGGTTTCAATGAGTTCTTGCTGTTGTGCCCGGATCCAGTGGAACGCAATGGGTATTTTGTGAGCTGCCGTGAGTTGCACATCTGCGGTCCAATTCTTCAAGCCAGCGTGGGCACGGGGGGGATCTAGCGGGAACGGAACTCGAGCCGGCAAATCATGGAACGGCGAAGGATAGCGGTAGCGTGTGGTAAGTTGAAAAGTGTGTAATCTCGACGTTGCATTGTGGATGGCCCATAATATCCATGCGTCTGCCGTACTACTAGTTCGTTGTGTAGCCCACAGTATTTCAATATTGAAGCTTGTCGAGCAGGCTAGGCCAGGAGAAGACTATGCCAGGAGTAGATTGCACTTATTCGCCAGGGCAGTGGTAACAACTGGGGGGAGGAAACCAGGCAGTGGCTCCGTGTAAACGCAGTGTTCCGCAAAGGTCTTACCTCGAAATGCTGCAGAAACGGCGGGGGGGGACTCTTTGCGTACCAAGAGCACTCTAGTGACATCTACTGCAAATCAGATTCGTTCGTTCCACGCACCATGCAACCGTTACCCTAAAGCGGTACAGCGATATTTTGTATAATAAAGAACGGAGGGACACACCAAGGAGTTTTGACAATAGGTGCCCATTTGGGGGTATTGGTTGAAATGTTCGGGCTAGCACAGCAAGCTGGCATGTGGCATATACTACATCGAGTCATCATCCCGATACGCAGCCCAATGCATAGTTGTACCGGATACACGCATGTGGGGTCGGCATTGCACCGTCTTATAGAGATCGCTCCTGCCCGCCCTGGAGTGGCCTCCTGCGCGCCAATAAAATTTCTAGATCATTCGAAAACTATGCATTCGTCACAGGGTTTTCACTCTCGAAAGTTGTTTGTACACGTGTCTCTCATTCTACCGCTTCTTCGTCTCCCCTCGAGAGTCCTCCTCCCCCCTTTGAGAGACTCCTCACTGCCTTTGTGCCCGTACCCTGGGCCGGTGCGTTCTCCCCGGCGACATCTCCTCCCTCTACGTGTGACTGTGTGTCTTCGAGGGAGTCCCCAGTTCCCGTGTGACTGCCTCCTGGAGAAGGCCTAGTGTCGTCTTTACGGTGGCTGCCTTCGCCCGTGAGGGTGCGTGGGGCATCAACAGACACCCTTTCGAGATCATTTCTGTCGGCGTTGTCATCGTTGTTGCCAGGACCCAGGGGGTGACAGTCTTCGACCTCGCTCTTCGCGGCTCCCGTCTCCGCAGGACCACCCAAGACCTTCTCCGTACATCCCATGACCGGAGAACCATCGAGGCTACGACCAACAGGAGTTTCCCAGAAGCTTGTTGGTGTCGGGGGGGGCTTCAGGCTGGTGATGCGGATGGCCTTTGAAGGAGGGTCGGCGTGCGAGCTGAAAACAGGAGGCGCGAGGTGGTGTAACTTCTCTTCGGCGGATCCTTGGCAGTTTGCTGTTTCGTCTGGTGAGCTAGCCGATACATACGCGGGCGAAAGGGCAGTGCTGATTGAGGAGCATGTACCGTCGAGTGATGCTGGAGCTCCTTCCGATGGTTGAGCGCATGCCCCGAGGAGAACATAGAAGAGGTCTTGTTGAGATGCCTACAATCGCAACGGCAGGAAGGCGACGCCGAACGTGCGCAGTTCTTGAGGGTGGAACGTATTGAGTAGTGGAGGGACCAGTGGCATTGAAAATAGGAAGGAATGCAGCAGGTGCTTCGATCAAGAGCGACCACTCTCGTTACACCCTGCCTACTGACGGGATGCATGCAGAACTCGACGGAGAGATCCTTAAACGCGACCACATACTGAACGCCGAGAACATGACTTCTAGGGCCTACTGGAAATACTGTTCCTTGTCAGACTGGGCTTCTCGATCTGTGTCACACTCGCTCACCAGAGGCTGTCGAGGAAACGTCCTCTCTCGTAAGGCGTTGAGGCGAGACTCGGCCTCTTCCTCACCGACAGCTCTACCCAGAACCATGACCATCGCTATCCGCAGTGCCGGGATGTCTAGATGCCCCTCTGTTGTTCCCTTGGCGCTCGCGAACGCGGATACTGCCTGAACACCGTGAAAACATCGCGTGTGGGACTAAGACGCGCGTTTGAGCCGGTGATAAGGGGTTTCGAGAAACGCGTGGAGTTTGAGTCTTGGGAACTCTGGAATCGAGGTACAGCGGAATGACATTATTGGAAAACCATGTGGCTACGGTTTTGTAGGTTCGGGCTTCCGCTCGCGGGAGGCGTTACCTCTTCGCGCAGCAAGGCTGTCTGCTCGTCTTCCTCTTCCTCGTCCGAGTCGGGAAAGTCGAGTTCGTCCATGTCTCCATCCTCGTGCTCTTCCGAATCCAGCAAGCCGACCTCCCCGAAAGTGCTTGCCACAGTAGATTGCTCTTCCACACTAACCGTCGACACTGTCCCAGCAGTAGCTCCGCGACTGCTACTCAGTCCCGCCTTTTTCCTCTGAAACACCGGGAGGGAAGGAAAAAAATGCAAGCTGGTTGTGCGTAGACGATGATTTTGAAACACCCCCCAGAGAATGAAATATGTTGTGGCTGATGCCGTTACGGGTGCTACCCAACGTTTATCTTCTCGTATTCCATGCAAGCACTTCGTCTTTCGACGTGCGCAATATATTCAGCTGGAGCACACAACACACCTGGGCCCGAAGCGGCAGAAACTTCTAAACACAATACAAAACACATTCTTACCGCCGCCGCCTGCTCCTTCGCTGCCTGTGCTCTTGCGGCCCTGGCCTTCTCTTTGGCCTTTTGCTTGGCAGCCTTGGCCTCGCGGAAAGCCTTTCGGATCATCTTTTGCACTGACCGTTGTGCCTCTACCTCTTCCGTCGGTCGGGGATCACTCACGAGGAAACGGTCGATCTGAAGGCCAACGGACGTTACCGGCGAGGAATTGAGCGAAAACAACTGCTTAGTTCCCCACAGACTGTACACGGCAAATCATTTCTCATCTCCAATGAACCACAGAGGCCAAACAGTTTAGCCAACGATTGCGTGATTAATCCTCAGCTATCAGCACGCTGGCTCAGAGTGCCACAAACCTGGATCTGTCATCATCTCACCCCGGTACAGTCTACGGCAGAGGAACCAGCCGAAAAAACTCATGGCTGGGAAGCAAAAGTGAAAAACAGGCCCCAAATAAGCAGTCCTAGTGCGGGATCGTACCAACCCATTACTACATATGCCCATTCAGATTTGAACCTTGTCGCAGACCACGGTTGGTATGAGTGAAATGTCCAAACCTGTGCTATCCTTGATTGCTTCCAGGCTTCCCATTCGGCCAAAGACTGCCTCAGTCCCTCAGCCGCCGTGGTCGAGAGAGGGGGGTGCTCTAGCCAGACCCTGCGAATACATGCCTCCATCGCCGTGCTACATCCACGGGCAGGAATCCCGACTTGTGCCCCCTGCAAACGGCAGATAACAATTGGGTCGGTTCAATGGGGGGTGCACGGCGACCAAAATACGCCACATATTGCAATACCAGGCATGCAATAGGTCCCTAGATGTGGATCGATGCAGAAGAGCCATGGCCGGTGGTCGTGTGTAAAAGAACCTTAGGTGTTATTGTAGTGTCATACAACACGCACATATAACGCTGTCTGTGGCGACCGGATTTACTCTGACGGGGACAGCGCATAAGACGCCTCCCTTGGGCACCTGTACAGGTCATGAGAAGCGTCCACAGCCTGACGCACCGTAGCGTGCTATGCCTGCTCACCATACGAACACGACGTCTCGAAACTAAACCCTCACCAATCTTGCTCTGGCGGCTAGAGGCAGGGGTCTCGTTCTCCAGCTCGACTTAGATCCGACGTTTTCCGTGTGATCGTAATCATTTCCGAAAACCCGGCCTGGCCAATGCTGAAGGAGAGCCGCGAACGAGCCTTCCCCTCGAGGCGTCGGTAACACAGGAACGTAGAAGCTCAGCTGAGAGCAGACAGGCATCAAGCACACAGACGGAGAGAGGACGAGACAGGAGGGGAACATCAGGAAGAAGCGGTTGAGCACGCGATCCACTGGTCGTTTGATGTTGCCTTCTGAGTCAACACAAGGCGGAAGCTGTGGTGGGCGCACATGCTGTACACACAAACCGCGTGATGCTTCCGGTGCATGAGATTCAATCACAACTAGATGCTTTGCACCGTCTCACCTGCCGCGCCCCGTGCGAATGTGGGTCCGGGCAACAGTCTTGTTCACGCACATCCACTGCCCGGGCTGGCCCATCCAACGATCGCCTCCTATTGTCATGGTTGTCCTTGTTCACCCCGAGTCGGGGCTGTTGCTGCTGCGACTGAGATGGGGATATGGGTGCAAGACGCTCACACCACGTTCTCGCGTCGTCGTTCCGAAGCAACTCTAGGGCGGAGCCATCTCGACGGTAGATGAACAAGCGAGGCTCCAAGGGTTCGTTGACAAGGGCCTCAGATCGCATGCCGGCTGTTTCTCCAGCCAGGTCAATCGACACGCCGTTGGACTGAGCGCAAGAGAAAGAAAGGGGGGCGGGCGGGCGGGCGCGAGATTGTCTGTGTGCTCCGCGGACTTCAAATTGCGTTTGAATAATATGTCGAGCGCGGAGTACGTGCTGCGGAGAAACGCAGCGAAATGGTTTGAGTATTCTTGACGGTTGCGGTGGGTCCGATATTGCTTGGTTGTTTCGACGTACGTTGTGCACGCTCCTGCCGAGCTGGATTCAGCGACAAGGGTGTTACTGTCGTGGTTGTGCTCTGTAAAAGCACGTTCGCACGTCTATCTATTTAGTACCTCGTCCGCGCTGTTCAAGGCAAAGAGACTATTCTCTGCGGCCATGAGTTTGCCCAAAACAAGGCACAGCAACATGGTCGAGGGTTCCAAACAAATTCTCACCCCTCGCGAAAAGATGAGGTTCGTAAAGAACGAGTCAAAAAGACAATAGAGCAGCAATTTTGTTGTGTTTAAAGGAGCAAGGCTCTTCGAGATATCAAGACAAAGCGACAAGGTCGGCTTTGTTGAAGGACAAGTTATCGTTCCTGCGTACTTATTCGTGTAGCAGTCAACCCACTCATGAAAGACGAGATGGCATTGCCCAGTTCATTTTCACAGCAAAGTTGCGTGAACAGTACCAGTACAGTATGACACTGCGAACTTGAACTGTGCCCTCTTTGGATCATTCCCACCTTCCCGCTGGAAGGTCGGCTCGAACCTCGCTTGCTCTTCTCTGGTTTCTCCTTGGGTGAAGTGGGGCTGGTGGCACCGTCAGCTGTGGACCCGCCTTCCCTGGAGATGGAAAAGTCTTCCCGCAGGAAGGCCGTCTTCGTCACGTCCACGACGAAGCGGTTCCTATCGGTATCTTCTGATTCCATAACTCCTTTGAGGCAGTCGAACTTATAAGTCCCGACAAGAAGGTCTGGCTGCTCGCAGTTCGGGGGCATGGACGAGTTCGGTCCGGCCAACTTACCATGTACGGGCTCGCCCTCCCACATTCCTCTTGGACGCACCACCACTTCCCCTTTGTCGTTGGCAATAACCTGGGGAAGGTTAAGGCCGGTGGAGAAGCGGGTGGTGGGATGGCCCACGTGAAGTTTGACGAAAACGTACGGTGAAATACTGCGTTCTCCCGGCGTAAGAGGGTTGGAGAATGCCGTATTAAGCAGAGCGGTTATCCTTGCAATAAATGGTAGAGGCTGTCATTCTGTGGGCAAGTTCATCGTGCAGGGCATCCATCACCTCGGTGTTGTCGCTGTGCACGTAGACCACCCTTCCGCAGACCTGAGAAGTGACTCTCGTGTCGTACGACACTAACGTCACACCTCCGTTGGGCATCACGGCCCTGAGCCGAACTCTGTTGCCTCCCCGGGTGATGGTGACGGGCTTCCTCCTAGCGTGCTTCGAGCACATTTCCTCGACTTCGATGTCCACCTTGAGGAGGTCGAAGGGGAGGTGGGTCGGGTCGGGCCGGGTTAATAGGGGGTTCAAATTGCAGTGTATTTGAACTGCAGGAATCAACGGATTAACGACGAGAGGTGAAGCTGTTCACGATGTCTGGCTATGATGTGTGATTTGAACCAGAAATGATCAGGATAGTAGGCGGTTCGGTGTTTGCCAGACTGGATGATTGCGTAGTACGTGAGGACCCGACCAGTTTCCTCCGATACCCCCATCCTCACTAGATAGCTGCCAAAGTTACGACTTAAAACCGTGGTGCGCAAGAACGCGTGGAGGAACGAACGAACCTCGCCAGCAGATATCTTGATAATTGGGAAGGTGGCAATGCCAACGTGCCGATGAGAACATCTCGACGAGTCGTGTCCGACAATGGATCGTTCTTCTCCCCTTTCCACATATTTGGAGCTATCGGGCGGTACCTCGGTTCGTTTCCTCATATAGACTATTTCCCTTTTGAAGCGCAATCACATCCCACCCACAGCCACATCACCGGAAGAAACCCCCCGCATGCCAAATATCATACGTTAAACCCCAAGCTCTAAGCTGCTCCCCACCGACAACGTGATGACTTCCTCCTCACCTCCACCGACGCAAACCCAGGACATTCCACCAGAATCAATCCCGCGGCAGCAGCACCCCCGTCCTCTTTCCCTTGGCGCCACCTCTGCGTGGTCCCGTCGGCGTGTCTGGTCACCGTCAGTTCATCTTCGTACTCGACGATCACCCTTCCATTTCCGCCGGGGGGGCACCACACAGTGGCACCGGTTTCCACATCCGTCACAGGCGTTCCATCGTCCGGCATTTTCGATGCACTAAAGCCGCTCGAGGTTGGACCTGTCCGGTCATCATGTTTATCTTTGTTTGCGATGCTGGGCTGACCGGATGATTGCTTGTGCGTTGAGGGTGGGATGGGAACCCATTCCGTGCAGGAGGCTTGAAGAACGTTTGGAGGGGGTGTGGCTCTGGAGGCTTTGCCTTTTGCGGGTGGTGTTGGGTTGTTGACCTGTCGTTGCGTCGTTACGACGGGGGGGAGATAGCGAGGGTATAGAAACCGACTTTCCAGCTCACGAGCAACGAATTTCTGCTCAACGAACCGATATGGATTTTTGCTAGGAGAGCGTTGAAGGAATTCTCTCCCTGAAGTGCAGTGACGAGAGTCGAAGAAGCTGTGGAGTACGACCGTTTCCAAGAGATGCAGAAACCCCACAATGACTGTTCCATCAATTGCATTCGCCGTTATCGCGCATGACTGGCGCCTTTCATCGGAAGGTTGACTCTCCCCTTGAGGAAGCGTGCGTATACGTACGAGGTATACGTGCTAGGGTCCACATGGACATCTTCGCGCCATGTCACAGTTGGAGTTAGGGCGGTCGAAAATAATCGTAGAAAAACGAGCACAAATCAACGCCTTCACAACAAACTGGGCCCACGTTTCCGGGACAAAGTGAGTGCACAAGATTTCCTTGTATGAGACGAACGAATTCGAATTTACACACGTTGAAGCTTGGATTCCAGAAAGGTTACGGAATGCTCCCAAGGAAGGCGAGATCAGTAAAAGAGCACTGGTATCAGCGGCAAATCAAAACCGAGGCCCGCGAGTTCATCCCAGTCTTGACTCACGTTTCCAGTAGCAGCCGGAGAAACGGGGGTTTGTGTTTTCCTGAAGCGCTTCCCAAACTTGTCTGTCAGAATTGTTTCTTCACCATTGCGAACAACCACGTCTCCTGCCGGCAAGGACGAGTTCAGCGGTTGCATGAGGAAAAACGTCAAGATTTGGTGGGTCCACTTCACCGAAGGTCGAGCAAACAAAACGGGTCAAACTTACGTATAGTCAATGGACCATTGTTTCAATCATTGGCACATTATTTTGACCCAGTCGGACAAACACTCACGATATGAAAACCATCAGTCTGGATTCAAATGTGTCGATGATATGAATTGAAAGGAAACTTGTGTACATGACGGTAAAGCTTCTCTGGAATAGCCGTAGAAGGGCAGGGCGGGGGCTTTTCGGCCCGCATCGGACGGAAAGTTAGAAAAAGCGACAGGGCAGCGCCACAATAGCTGTTCTGTTTTCGTTTGAGCGCGTACACCAATTCGTTAAAACCTGTCACGAAGAGCATCTGGATGCTGCCGTCCCGCATGTACCGCACGACCGTACCCTTCCCCACTACGGCACGAGCAAACTCGTCCTTTGCAGCCTGTGGAAAACAAGGTACAATATCGAGGGAGAGGGGTAGGAGAAACAGTCACAAGATCGCGATCGTATGCCAAGGGGCGCTATGGGCACATTGATTTGACGAGTGGTCACCAATTACAGTAGTGGGCAAAGAACATCGAGCACATTCTGATCATACTGCAGGGAGAGCGAGTATACCAGTATTCAATTCAGGTCTCGTAAGCTAAGGGCGAAAGAATGTCAATTCAGATACCAAATCATATATTTCGTTTTGGTATCACCTCTGGTACGAAGCCACTAAGGCACTTTCCGCCGGGGCTGCGTTTAGAGTCCAGCACAAACTTCATGCCCACCTGGATTGTCGCGGTCGCACAAATAGCAGAGGTACGTGAAGTCGAACACTTCACACTTGTGAGGTTGGAGTTCTTGATCTTTCGCAATAGGATTCTTCCGAACGAAGACTCCAAACCTACAGATGCTGCTTCTTGCCAAAATGTTATAGGATTCAGATGTGTAGACGGAACATAGAAGAGAATTGTTCCTTCTAGAAGGCGCGGAGAGATGTGACTCCCCGCGGAAGGATAAAACAGGGGACAGGATCTAGTAGCCCCTGCTTGTATTGAGGATCCTGCGCCCCTTGGTGTCATTCCTACCGATACCCAAGGCAACAGCTACTGCTGCTGCTGTTCTACAAGAGTAACAACAAGTGAGTTCTTCTTCACGGGTCAACCAGACTTCATCACGCGTGCATACCACCACACTTGGCGTCGTCGGCAGGACTTCACGGGTCAACCAGACTTCATCACGCGTGCATACCACCACAAACAGGTCTTGTCTTGTGGCAATCCCAAAGCAACACTGTTGCCAACAAGCGCTTATGTCGCACCACCAGTCACGTGCACCAGTCCAATCAAACGCGTGCCAACGACCTTGGTGACCCCAACCCCCCCCCCCTCCCGGCTCACCGTTCCGCCGCTACCCGTAGACACCACCAACCCCGTGGGAAATGTGTGTACACACGTGACGGTTCCAAACCCGTCAGGCTTCCCCTTGCCGCCATTTAGACCCCGGGTGGAGAGGCCAAAGGCGGGAACGGATCCCTGAGTAGTTGTCGATTTCCGCGTCTCTCCTTTGGAGGAGGCTGGTCGAGACGGCGGAGGAGGGGGTGGGGGCTGCCCCTCTTTGACGACAATACGAGAGTCGTCCGAGAAGCTCATGGTAAACTCCGCAGCAAATTGCGGCTGGGTGTATTCGTTCGGGCCAGATTAAGGACGCAGCGGCAGCAAGCAACGCGGAAGGGGGCCGGAAATGAGTTGGTGTGCATCGAGAATCCTCGTATGGGGAGTTGTAACGCGCACAGGCATATACTGGTCTGCCGACACGAAGTCATGTATGGACGCAGCAATGTTGAACTACGTAGAACTTGGCAGACAACTTATCGCTAGTGATGAAAAAAGCAGAACAATGGTTTGTTGTGCACCAAACGTGGTTTGTTTCCTACCTACACCCACAGGAGGCTTGGCTTGAAGAGGCCCGCTTCAGAAAACCTCAGAGCACTTCAGGCACATAATTTGCCACCTCATGCAGAAACTACTAGTACGCCTTGAACCATGAAAAATAGTTGCATTTCGAGGTACGAGCCGAGAACTTATTCTGTATGATCACGAGAAGTGGAGCACTCTGTGCTCACTTGTCGATTGGCATTGGTGCCCTTCGTGTCCACTCCATGAGATTCGCCTGTGCGACCCCTGTTAAAGAGGCGATTTACGATGCATTTTTTTTAGCATACGATAGAAGAATGGGGTCTATGTGATTCGGGACCGTAAGATGCATGTATAAATCAATATATAATTTGTGCGAGATATACACTATGGGTCCCTGAAATGAGGTCTGTGGATACACATCTTCGATGTTGCCATGAGCATACGGTTTTGTGGTCTTTCAACTTGCAACTCAGCATCACGAGGGTGGCATAAGGGTACGTTGTGGTACGCCAGCGTTAAAAAGTAGCCACTGGTCAGCCCACCTCGAACAACCGTGCCCCATGACACCATGCGTGGCTTACTATTGTTCTAATCTTGGCGGCCTGAAGTCTCTGATAATCTCCGCTAAGAAAGCACTGATGTGAGGGCTGAAAAAGAGACACAACGAAGATTGGGTACTACACAAATGACGCTGATGAACTTGCGAGCCAACTTTTTGGGTATTCCTCTCCACCGAATAGCACTCTCCGTTAACTACGCCTTCAGTTCGTCTCGGCGAATGCTCATGCCAAAGTTGAACACGTTCATTCATGCTCACCGCGGTGATGTATTGTCGGATTTGTCCGTGAGCCGAAGGCCCATGACATGTTGATCCTTAAACACCGATAGCCATCGTTGTGAAGTGGCGACGAAACCGCTCATCACCACAAGAGAGTGGTCTACATTAGGAGAGGTAGGTCCGTCGAATGGTACGGTTTGGGGTGTGAGTTGCGTATCTCTGGTGGAAGCCCCAAGTCGGTTGAATGCTGGAATATCCACCGAGAAAGGATACTAATCTCAGCGTTTAACTTGAGTTCAAGCGTACGTGCAACACACCGGAACATACTACTTGAATTCGAACTTGAGCGAGCTTACGGTCCTTTTTTTCGTTGTCCCGTACATCAAATAGAGAAAATATGAACTTTCTTGAAAGCACCTTAGCTCAGGTGAAACGGATATTCCATGCTAGGTGCAAGAAACGTCGAGGACGTAGAGCGCTGGGGCCGTCGTTCGGCCAATACTGCTTGTCGATCACCTGCCGGGAAGAGCTTGATGCTCTTAGTCTTGGCGCGATCGAGGTCTGCCTTGGAAATATCCATCAGAGCCCCCAAGGCCACAAGGGTTCGTGGGGTGTAGCTTGAATCTTTGGCAGCGACCATGCTTGCCCAATCCTTGAAAGACGGTCTGAAGTTCAGCCTTTGAGACAGTCGTGCGTGGTATGAAACATCGCATATTAGGTACAGTGCGGGCACGAAACTCCGGCTCTGCCAGAAAATGAAGAGACATGGGCAAGAGTGTGTATGGCCTTGTATTTCGAAGTACCGCCATACCCAGGTGAACAGGGCGATCGACAATACGAATACAGGTGTTAGAACAGTATCATGCCGTCCATCAGAGCTCCCAAGGCCACAAGGGTTCGTGAGGTGTAGCTTGAATCTTTGGCAGCGACCATGCTTGCCCAATCCTTGAAAGACGGTCTGAAGTTCAGCCTTTGAGACAGTCGTGCGTGGTATGAAACATCGCATATTAGGTACAGTGTGGGCACGAAACTCCGGCTCTGCCAGAAAATGAAGAGACATGGGCAAGAGTGTGTATGGCCTTGTATTTCGAAGTATCGCCATCCCGGGTGAACAGGGCGATCGACAATACGAATACAGGTGTTAGAACAGTATCATGCCGTCATTGCTCAAGCATCAATACGATAGAACAAGTCGGGGGTCATATTTTCGAAGTTGTGGTTGTGTTGTTTCACGATGTTCTGTCGCTTGCGCCTTGTATCAGCTCCAATCCTAGCGTGCAGCTAAAAAGAAGGTAAGCCTACCAACTACGTATCTTGCGTAGGATTGACTTGGAGGGTCGTACAGCCAAACATGAATGCAACAAGAACTTCGCAAGTATTTTGAGAACTGAATAACTTTCAACTAAGGAAAAGGAACTTGTTTCTGGCACGAACGGAGGTCGTCTGAAGAAATACTCGTCGTTGCGGCTGTCCGATTCCACTCGACTCACGGAATAGACCCCGAGGTGCATGGGTCCCACGAACAGATACGGGCGCGGCCAGGGGGGCTGTCGTGGTGCAGTGCAACCAGCAACTCGTCTGTGGGTCTGCAAGAAGTTCATGGCAGCGATGCAGGTAGCGGCAAACGACCGGTAAATTGGATCTGCAAGCAGGACCGAAGAGCGATCCATTGGAGAAAAATTCTCCGACGGAAAATACAAAGTAGCGTCTTCGATGCCTGCGCGAATGGCGTTAGGAAGGAAGAGGAGAAAACAGCCAACAGAAACAACTCTCGACACTCACGGGTAGTATTGTCGAAGGCACAGTGGTTCAGTTCCATTTTCAACTCGCAGCACTTGCTGCACGACGTGTTGCGGCAAAACGTCCCAATATCTCCTGTTGTCGAAGTTCCACAGCTCGCCTTGGCCGGGAGGGGGGTGGTGGGTGTTGACGAGTCGTGCCAGAGCCCACACCTTCCTCGTGCGATCCACGTCCTGTCGCATTCACCGCATGAATCAACCACGGAGGGAGGATCAAGGGTAAGTTAGTAAAGTGCTCTGGATGCCGGATATACCAAGCTCTTTCGGCGCCCTACACGAAATCGAGCATATCGGTGATAGTTCTATGGGCGCCCGCCCCGTACCTGCTTGTGAATGCATGTGGCCTTGCGATAAACGCAAAGCATCCGTGCAAACGCAATCACATGACGATGACACTAGGCTCCGTTGCGCCACCTGTATCAGCCCAGAGATGTGCTTGCCCCTGGCGGACCCCGAACGAATATAGAAAAGAAATGCACAGAAAATGCCCTCCTTGAACTGCTTAAGTACGAGCTCCGGATCGAAAGAGTTGGAATAGCGTGAACAACAGAACATTATGTCGCACAAGCACCACCGTCAGCCACACCGCCGGTCTACTGCTCATGGCAAAAGCGATGGTGCTTGCTTCAGGCGAACAAGTGAAATACCTTCCTGCCTAGATCGGTGAACGCTAGCAGCTCGCCTTGCTCCGTCCCACGATCCTTATCATTCCTTTCAGGCTCCCGGGGAAGCGCTCCCTGCCCTACCTAAATATTTGGTGTCATGGCCGAGAGAATTATCTGATAAACGAATGTAGGTATCGTGGGGCTGGATTTCAGAAACTTGACGTGAACACAGTGTTGACTCGATGAGAGATGGTCGATTATTGGAATACACTGACTGACCAGCCCGCTCTGACCGGCTTCGAGACACACTTCTCTAGGAGCTCTGTATACTTCCGAGTTACTGGAATGTTCTTCACGCTGATAAACCGCCAAAGTCATGCGGACGGTTTCGTTTTGAAATCGATCAATCTAAACGGTTCTGTGGGTCTAGCACATTCCTTAGGTGCAGTCATATCGCAAACAGACTTTAACCCAGTCCGCGACGGACTTGCGGTTTCAGAGTTTACCAATGGAGTTACCGTATGGCAAGCTACGAGTTGTCTTGACCAATACAGAGGAGAGCTCGTCTCCTTTATCACCTCCCTGTGTTTTTGTTTTCGAGAGGTGGAGAAGTAAGCATGAATTCTCATCACTGGACCGAAAGGTCCGGTGGGACAAACTGTTGACCACTCTCTGAGTACCACTGACCACTCTCGGATTTTGCAGCTTGGCCACAGCAGCTCTCTCCACGGCAACCACCGTACGAGGGTCGACCCTCTCCTCTCCAAACGCCGCAGCCCGATTCAACGCCGCACGAGCCACTCGCTCTCCGATCAGATCTCCGAACTCCAAGACCACGTTGCGCGCTAAGTGAGGTATTGGACTGTCCGTGGAAGCGAGAGTGCTGACGTCCGTCCCTTGCGTCTGAAGATCATCCCCTATCTCGGGTGCTCGTTCTTTGAGGGTGTCTTCGGGACCAGATCCCAGACGTTCGTTTGAGGGTGGAGCCACCCGTGTAGGAGCCTTATAGTTGCTGCCCGCCACCACCGATGCTGGGGCGTTGTTTTTTCTACAGGCACGGGGGCTCAGCGGAGCGGGTGGCGAGGTGTCCAGCGGGCGAGGTGTGGCTCCCGTGCACTCCAGCATGACAGCCTCGACCTGCTCGCGAATATTTCGGAATTATGCATCCGAAGGAGGGTTGGGGGAGGGTGAAGGGGACGACATTTGGGCCCGTATGGGTTGGCGCCGGTTTCCTCCACTCTTGCCGCTATGGCGTTTGTGAAGACGATAAGGGATAGTCTAGAGGTCCTGGGGGTCGGAGGTCCCAAACCTTTGTATCTGAATGCCCAAATCCGTTGTTAAGGAATATTGGTCATTAGGTTACATCTTTCGGCCTGAATTAACACACCAGCCGGGGTCACAGACAAGGCCGCACAGGAGAATTGTGTTTTCTCCGCCTTAGCGGTGGGTACCCACGATTGCATTGTTCCCCCTTGTTGTGTGCCATGTGCCAAAAGTCCCAGTTCGTGTGAATGCGCCGATACTCAGACTCGCGTCCTAACGTGACAAAGGTTGTGGGGCCACCAATCGAACTGTAAGGGGCGATTGATTATGGACCCCCTTAAAAGCACGTCATGCCACAACGTGGGAAGCGGCTGAATTTGCCCCCTCCCAACGTTCTCACCATGCAGTACACCGCCGTGGCGACTGAGCTCAGATCGTCGGGCACAGCTAACATGAGGTCTGAATATGCAAGGAGGGCCGGATCCGTCGACCAAAGACTGCCTTTTACCCTTGCTGCACTCCCACTCGCCCCGCTTGAGCTCGCCAACGGTCCTGTCCCTGTCTGCTTTGCTTCTGAGACAGCTCGAGCAATATCTATTCCTCCGTCTTTCCGAGGAATGGTCACCACTTCGGCGGTACTATTCGCAGCGGGTGTTGAAAGATGAGGACACGCGCGGGCTGTCGTAAGTGGAGTAGTTGATTGCGGTTTTGCCGTACCGTTGTGGTTGTGTATATTGGTATAGCATACGTGTGATTGGCTTCCGAATGGAGCAAAAATATGTGCTGTGGTGTGGTGTCGTTCTGGACTCTGAACTTGTTTACTGCCAGGATTTTTCATGATTCGTGAACAGTGGCACGTACGCTGGGTCGCGGTGATTGTTTTCCGCGCCATATTTGGGGTTAGCTTGTGGCCACGGAAACTGACTTGATTTCCTATGACAAAAAGGGGGGGGGCATACTGGACCATCCTGTTGTCAGACCCGTTTTCAATTTCGAAAGCCAACAAGAATAACATCAGTATTGCAGACAACTGTTTTGCGCAGTTACCCTCTGGGAGACTATCGTTGCGTGTGCGGTCCTGCTAAGCTTGTACAGCACCAAACCAGCTTTCGGTACAAGCTGAAAGTCTCTGTGATTTCATTTGTCGGGGTTGTCATTTTCCATCAGCGACATGCACATTCACATGACCGAAACGGGAGGAATCCACACAACCCACGTACGTACATACCTGAACCATTGGTGAAAATCGAATTTCTCGAAGGCCATTTGGGTCACCATCTCCTTGAACTCCCCCGCTAGCTTGAGTATATCTTTGATCTCGCCAATCGGTTTCGCCGCCCCCTTTTTTTCGGGTTTTCGTTCCGGACTTGAAGGTCGGACGAAAGCTTCTTTCATCCTTGGGTCCTTGAAAACGATTATGTGTGATGATTGGTTTTTAACACCGCAACGAACGCAAGGGGGGGAAGTGGTGTGGTGATGGAATCTAAGCAAACATGATATTTGTACCTGGCAGTTAGTTTTTCTACCTAAGCGGTAGCTAATATGGGGATTCTCTCTCTAGCACGAAAATAACACTGCATAGTAACGCATGAAAATTTCGACAACATGATAGGTGCCGCATTCTTAGCGGTACGCCAAGGAAATACCTTGGAAAGGGGGCGCATTCAACATATATCCTTCCTTCTTCACGCCAAACCCTGTAGTCAGTAGAATACAAAAACCAAAGAATGAACACAATCGACCAACCGGAGGAGCGACGATGTTGATGTAGCAGAATGATAGGTCTTGCCAAACAGTTCCACCCTTTGTCTGTGCAACAGCTAGCGCCTTGGTTATTCCAGAGGCTTGCGTGAACAGGCGGGAGGTACTGCGAGAAGCACAACACAGAAGAGGGCATGCACGTGAGTGGCTCGTACGCCGAAAAGCGTTGAAATTAGGCAACGTCTTACAGTGGCAGACTCTTATTTGAAGAACATCAGAACGCTTCCAGATTGAAAGAAATGTGGTACCAGGCAGAAAATCAAAGCCTCGCATGTCTACATGAACTCGCGATACGTAGGCACGAAAACAGCCCAAACCGGGCTTAAACCTCAAACGGTTGGCATCGTTTAGCTTCAAGTGCGCCCGAGCTCAGAAAACGAGATGGCCCAAACGTCGTTGTGGTTGATTTGGTTGGCTCACTCGGTGGTTCGGAGACGGTCCCACACGTTCTCTCTCTTTCGACGGTCGATGGCCTCGTCCGCCTCCTTCCCTCTCCCTCCGGGACTATTGCTGTTGAATGGTACCCATGTCGACGGCGTCGTCAATTGACCAAGTGGAAAAGGTCTTGTGAAAAAGTAGTGAAGGGCGTCACCGTATCTTTTGGAGGTTTCTGCAATTTGGCAGTCAGAAGAAAAATCTTCCGCAACTCAGGTAGATGCCCGTTCTGAAACGAGACCTTGGAAAACACCACGTCTGCTTCACCCTCACATCATTGAAAACGCCATAAGTCATTACATCCTGCCGGTGAACGGGCACCGCGAAAATATCCAATCGAGAAGCCACACAAGTTTCTCCCACAAAGAGATGGTTTGCTCATGCTCGAAACGGAACAAACACTTCAGCTCTAGCCCAAGGTATGGAGCAGCATGACGTACAACGAACATCTGAGAACTACAGATAAAAGTCAGCACCATATGAACCAGCTCTCACGCCTGGTCATCTTGAGCAGACCGAGAAGATCCGCAACTCGACGCAGTTCCAGGTCGAGAGCCGGCGCGGACGGAGTTCGCACGGGGCGACGATTCCGCCGGTTTCACCAGATCCCTTAACCGAGTCGCCACAATCAAAGCATCGTGTGCGCACGTGAGCAAGAAATCGAACGGCCCGCGCTATTCGACTGTGATTGAGTGGATATTGTTCGGAAGTGGGAGCGTTGACTGTCTACACTCCGATTCCCCCAACGGCAACAACTTGCGTGGTTAATAGTTTGTATTCGATCGACCGCGTTATCAAAACACCATCAGGCGTATTACAATTCTACGTTGCCGTGGTTAATAGCGTAGCTAGCTCCAATGGTCAAACACGAAACACGTGGCCCGACCCTCAAAGTCATTCGATTACCACGAACCTGTCATTTTCCGAACTCATGGTGTACCCCTTTCCCTTCTCTTGGATCCATTCGCTTTTCAACTAGAAGTGCTAAGGTACTCTGGAAAAGACGCAAGTTGCGCGAAAAGATTTGTGATCCTGTCCTCTAGCCCCCGCTTCCTCACAGCCTCCCCGCTTTGCGCGCTTTGCGCAACGCGAATATTCGGCTTCCTCACCTTGTTGTAATCTGAATAACAGCATCTAGAGCGCTGAGGAAAGCTGGTTTGTCGTCCCGCTTCTCTGTCGGAGGAGGAGGGCCTGTACCCTTGTGTTTCTTCTGGGGCGCAGAGTAGAATGCGTTGTTTTCTTCGAGGAACTGAGCAGCGTCGGTTTCCGTGGCAGGAAATCCTTTGAGGACGTACACTCTGTGGGCAACAAACAGTTCAAGACAAGGACAGTAGCTGTGGGGGATCGATCGACGTTGTGGCGGTTGGTACGCTGTTTCGCTGCCCGGAGATAGTCTATCCGACGGCATTTTCCATGGATCCTCGACTGATGCTGAAGAAGGCCGTGCATGGGTTCCTTCGTCAACGAAAACGCTCAAGGCCAGAACGGCGGGGGCGTCACCCCTATGCTGGACACGAATTGGCGGTTCGTCGTTGCTACACGAGCATCTCAATATCATGCTATTCCTGGTTCGTGTACCCAGCGTGTCAATCCATTTGATCCCATTGCTACCGCTGCTACCCTCACCTCTACCTCGCGCAACCAACCGCCTTCTGAGTAATTCTTACCTACCCCCTTTCCGCCCCCCGGTGTTTGCCATCGGGGTTGGGTTTTCGTCGCTTGGCAACGACGTTGTAAAACAAGCCCCCCCCTCGGTGATTGCCATCGGGATTGGGTTTTCGTCGCTTGGCAACGACGTTGTAAAACAAGCCAATTCACTTCGTGAACTCGGCAACCAGGCGGTTTTTTTTTACCTCTGTTTTTTTTTTTGCGGTAACCATAATGGTGGTCGAGTAGATCATGTTGTGCGGGGTGGAGAACCCTCACTCCGCGCAACGGGGGATGATCGCACCACGTTGTGTTAAAATGGTCAAGCACCCTCGAGGCAGTTACACAGTGCTTACAACTGTCTCTGGAAGTGAAAGCACCAGATAATAAATTAAGTCATACGCAGCTGTCATTCGTACGCAAGGAAGTAAGCACAAGATGCCGAACACCCTTCGCAGGATGCAGCGCACCCTTCATGCGACTCGCCGAATACCTCACGGCGCTTCGCGCTTGGTGATGTGAGAGCCTGGTCCGGTGAGAACTCGGCGTGCTCCGTCCCGGCTTTGTAGGGATGCGAGGTCAATGGTCTAACGACTACGGCATGCGCGACTATGAGTACCCCCCCCCCCCCCCCCCCCCTATAGATCTTGCTCCGCGGACAAAGGTCGATGTTGCCCCAACAA